TATGTGACTATGCTTGTGATTATGCATGTGTTTGTGTATGCGTGTGTGCCCGCGTGTGAGTTTGGTGACATATATTTGTAGTCATTTTAATATATCTCTATAAGTACACACCTATCTATACCTACATATTGTTTTTTTTTTGTATAAACCGCAGTGAAGTCCCAAACCAGAACAATTCTTTCATAGTAAGGACCAACTTTGTAGAAATGTACTTGTAGAAATAATGACTTCACTTAAAATTTTACTTAATTAATCAACTGAATTTTAATTCTATCGTTCAAACATCGTTTCAATTTGTGCTGTTTAACATTTTGTTGTCAGATTCTGCAATTGTGACACTATTGAGTTTTGAATCACACGGTTTTATTGCAATTATTTACATTATTAATTACCGTGGCTTAATCTTGGATAACTATTCAGGGTTAGAGTTGTGATTTTTTGTACTGACTCTACATTCATATGTGTATACACATCCTTGTGTGTATGTTGGAACATTCTTATATGTGTAGACGAGGAGGATGTGCTGAAAGGTTTTTGGTGCCACTCACTTGCCAAAATCTGACTAAATGACCAAACCTCAGAGTATATTTTGAAAGGGCTTTTCGATTGGATTAAGAGCTTTTCACAACCTATATGTGTATGTATACTCTCTGTCTGTCTGTCTCTCTCTCTCTCTATCTTTTACACACACACACACGTATTTCTTTTGATGTATGCGCTTATGCTTGTATGTTGCATATCTGCGCATTACAATGTTGGTATGTATATAAGATCAGTGAATGCGTTTGATATGTATACTTTTGTGTAATTCAAGTATCCAGAAATATGTATTTACTATTTTAGGTGTATAAGTAAATAAGATGAACATACATATGACCTGGATGCTAATATTTCGCTGTTTAATTCATTGTCATCAGAACACAAAATAGCCATTAGTCGAAGATTGTTCTTCGAAATTGCATTTCTTATTTTTCTTTTTTTAAGAAAATGTCTGGTACAAGTTTCTATTTTTTAAAAACAATTACCGAAATATCTTTGTTTTTTTTTTAAATTTTAATGATTAGCAAATAAAATAATAATGTTTCTAACCATTCACACATCTAAAATTGAAGTTTCAAATCACAGGGTTTAAACATTACATAATGTAAATGTAATGCAATGTTTTCATTTGCTTTTCTAAGTTTCTCATACAGTTACTCATAATCATTGTAAAACAAATAAAGATCCATCACATCATGATTTGAAGAATTTTTAATCAAGGTCTAGCCCTCCACAAAGTATTTTAAAGACACAATGTTTAGACGAACAATATCAAACTTGCACAAAATGCATGGGATTTTCCTGACGAATTCAAATAGCTTGATGCTGATACGTTTATCATCCAGAGTGATATTGACAAACATAGGCATTAAGAATAACAAGAAATAAATATGTTTCTTTCATTATTTCAGTTTATTAATTGTCCAAAAGACTACAGACAAATATTTACACAAATTTTTCTGTGTAAATATAGCAAATCTTTTTAAATTTTCAATGAAAGCTTTTTAGAGTTGGATAACTTTACGTAACGCGTTTGGTTTTCAGATTAGAGTTTTTGTTGAAACCTTTTCATAATATAAAAATGACATGAATATAGTAAATTACAGTCTCGTTTACGACAAATGATGAGAATTCTGGGAGGATCGAACTTTCCATTCTCTGAACATTCCTAACCATTGCTCTCTGGATGAAGTTCTAGGTAAAGAAATTTCTCCGCTTTGAAAAAAAAATTACCAAATCTACCGGGTATATTACTAAATTAACGTATTTTTAAAAAATGTGATTATATAATAATAAGTATTATATTATACAATATCAATAAAAAAATATGTAAAGTTGCCTTGAGATAGACTCCATCTGGGAAGAGAAAAATGACCAGTCAAAAAACAATTTGTCTTAGGAGAATTGTGATTGAAGTGAATGTGATTAGTCTCTCATGTGGTGGAATACAGATCAAAGCACAAGACAGGATTAAGGAGTAAAGATATAACTGCAGCTTTATATTCAATTTGGGACGAAGAACAGAACATATACAATATAAGCAATACAATGAATAATATTTAATGATTTAAAATGACATTAGATCATTTATCCTATATTTATTTTAAAATTATTGATTTGAAGTGACATCAAAATGCCTATCGTATACGATATAAAATAAAGGATCGATTTTATATCAATAGAATGTCATGAATAATTCCTCTATAAGAACAATATATAATTTTATATAATATTTCCATACCTAAAATGAATCTTTTAATGATATTAATATGATCAATTGCAAAAATTTAGAGAAATATTGATAATCGATAACCAATATAATGAACTTGTATATAGAACGTTTGGAATTTGCTCTTTGTTTTTGTTTGTTTTCTAATTAATAAGTGTGTAATTGACACGATTGAAACCTAATCATTTTGAAAGGTCCCCTCCCTCCACTTTCAATAAGTAACTACAGATGATGATATCCTTAAGATCCACTTTAGTTTCTCATCCTAATTTTGTGTGCGTCCCTGTTTATTTTGAAGAGACTTGAATTTCACGTGTGTACAATTCTAATAATTGTTTGGCATGTTTGCTAAGCACTGCGTGTGTTTGATATTTCACCTTCATTTTTTTTATTCATCTTGAAAAATAAATAAAATTTATATAAAAATATTCAGTTGATTGAAAATCTCCAAAAAATAAAAGAAACACTCTTTATTTGTATTTTTCTTCGTTCCAATCCCATTCCACAAAAAGAAAGACAGAAAATAAATTGCAAAAGAATTATCAATTTAAATATAATTCCGACATTTTATACTGAATGAATGTCACAAAATAGTGAAGTCATCAATACCAACATGTCTAAGATATTATTCCAATAATTCTGATGAATTATTGATTCAGAAAAAGACATCTTAAAAGAATTCAAAGTTTCATCACTAACACATCTTCTTTATGAACACAGATCCTACCCAACCAAACTGAGCTAACTGCAAAATACTGTATTTATTAAACTTAAGTCAACGTCTAACGATATATCTCTGGTATGTTTATCGGGATAGAAATTGGATGAATCCAGTGAGGACTCAGTTAAACGTGAAACAGTGTCGACTATGGCTGAACAAACCGATTTTTTTTTAGTGACATTGCCTGACACTTGAATGTTGAAGGTTGCGTGATTTGCTGTCACAGCATTTCTTTTTTCTTTTATATCACTTTCACGGTTGGATTTTTTTCACCTTTACTTGCAAGTACAATCAGGCAAAACGATCCGAAGCAATCTTTTCTCCCAGTTTCCATGTATCTAAGCCCTAGTAAATAGCATGGACATAGAAAGTTTAACATTCAAAATGATTTTACATGTAAACTAACGTAAACACTGCATTCATTTAGTTGAGATTTATTACAATTTCAGTGGTTTGCGTTGAAAGAAATCTCAAAAGAATTTTGAAGGAAATTCAATACAATACCTGTAAATTTTGAAGTTGAAATACGGTTATGTAGCCAGTAATTCATATTTAAATTAGGATCAGTCCTTTCTTTTAAAAATCTTGGATTTCATACAGCGTGCAATTCATTACTAAATGTTCCATCCTTTCTGTTTACAGTGCATGAAAATGTGTGTGCCTGTGTGCATGCGGGCGCGTGCATATATACCCTGATCGCGAGGAGAAGTACATTTCATGTTATTCGATAGATTTTCTTAAAGATTAAATGAAATCAATTGATTTTTCCTCGGGAAAGAATAATAAATATTTATGAGTAAGAAATTATAAAATCATAACAAAAAGTAATTGTGTTATTTCTTCCCATTCTTTTTATTCCATCTTATCCATATTTTTGATTCATTGATCAGACCCATAAAGTGACTAGCGGATGCTCTAATTACTGTATTTTATTATTAAGATTGTATAATAATATTAATAAGATAGCATAGATTAATAAAAGTCGTTACCATTTTTCAAGTGATGAGAATGAGGATTTTTTTCAGTGGGAGATTTTGACGATATCTATATTTTAGAATGACTATACATGCTCATCTTAGAGAAGCTCTGCTTATCACACATGTAACTGTTGATACGCGGCGAGGGTGCCGGGTGATGAGCTTCGCTGTGTTGCTTCCTATGTCGTTCCTCTATTGTTTCCTTGTTGTTTTCTACCCCGTTCATATCATTTTTTTCTCTCTACGATGTACCGATATTAATGATTTATATATATATATATATATATATATATATATATATATATATATATATATATATATATATATTTACGTCTGATTTTCCATTTGAAATGTTTAGTTTTGGTGGGTGATTATTTCTCATATTAACTTACAAATATTCATTCATTATTTATAATATTCACTTGCTAACTCCTGTATGTCTATATAGAAATCTATAAAATTAAATACACTGTATTTAAGCAACAAGAATCTATCAAAGCAAATTTTGTTAAATTCACCAGACAATTACTATATGTTTAAATCGATTGTAGTTTTCTGATTCTCGAATAACATATTGTATATCAGGAACAAACGTGTGGATAAACTTTCCGAAGTTCATGTTTTAATAGATACAGATATCTAATGTAAATACTATTTTTATAGGGCTACTGGCAGAACAATTTAAGACCGAATTAAAAGTAAAGAACATTTGATCCTAGCACTCGTATCCAGAGCAGTAGGAAAACGAAAGTTCACTTGCCAAGAGTTGCTATTCTTAGCTTTTAGTTCGATCTCCGATACAAATATATGTATGTTTATGTATAGTGCTTCTTTTGTAATCGTAATAATGCGTTGTATTCATGTCTCTATTTTTAAGTACGTGTCATTACATTTTGTGTTGGTTTATTGCATAAAAATGCGTTGGAGTTGACATTGCAACATGACCAAACTTTTAGCAAGAGATGTATTAGAATGAGTTCGTGTTTGCGACCCAAGCGAAAGTAAAATTATTCTCGTCTCTTTTAATATCCAGGCTTTCACCATGATTGATCAAGACAGAGATGGATTCATCGGCATGGATGACTTGAAGGATATGTATTCTTCTTTGGGTGAGTCAATTGTTTATTTTGTTTGGTAAATGTTTCAGCTTGAAGCTGGTAAAATATTTTACTTCAAAACATTCCAGTCCAACTGTTGCAAAAAGAAATTTCAAATTTAATCACTGATTTAATGATTATTATTTTCAGTAAAACACAATTCTTATAAACATTTGTTGACCTGAGTCAATTTAAATTCGCATGATCGCTTAAAATATAAAAAGTACCTTGTAAAACTATTTTATATAAACTATTCAGTTCCTCACTGGGTAATTCGTAACTGACTTTGTGCCTACTGATATCGTAAAAAGCGTAAAAATGATAAGTTAATGTGCAATACTTAACTCTAGGATGGACTTAAAAACAAAGAACACTTGAAGCCTGAAGCGTTGGTTAAGTGAATTTAAAGTTTTCATAAAGTGTTAAGGCGAACTAAGAGATGCATACAATTCTTCTTCTTCTTCTTCTTCAAATTAGATTAAGTAGAAAAGAATGAATTAGAAACCTCTTTCTTGGAAATTTTACATGACAAAAGGCATGATCATCATGTGATTAATATTCATCACGAAATTAAATCTATTCACAAGGAAGAAAATTATGTTGAAAAATTGTGTAAAATAAATGTTTTTTTTAATTATTTGACTTACTGACACACCTACATTTGAAAATTAATTTCATTTTAGATTTTGTTCTATCGTTTTCCCCCTTTTTTAGCATTGATGATGCAGAATTTTCTTTTAATAGAATTTAATGGAATTGTCTGTTAATAGGTCGTGTGCCCTCAGATGATGAGCTTAACAACATGCTCAAGGAGTGCCCTGCTCAACTCAACTTCACCGCTTTCCTCACACTCTTTGGTGACAAAGTTTCCGGTAAGTACTCACATATCTTGAATAATACATGTATGAAATGTATTGGTTTAATGACAGGTTTCGACGTTACGATGAAAGCCTAGAATCTTTCTTAGAATTAAGATATCAGAGAGACATCTTCTGGTTGAGGGAAAAATTGAGAAAGAGAAATATACATTCCGATAAATGTAACATTTGGTTGATACATGTGTTTGAGTAGATATCCGTTGTTTCTTAAACAGTGTAATTGACATCTATTGGCCTGTGAATTCGAAAGTATTAATATAGAGATTGAGACTATTATCAGGGTTGGAATCTTCGTCTTTCCTTTCATTGGAGAAATCCCCATCAAATCAGGTCTGCTTCAAAGCGCTCAGTCACGAATGGCATTCACAGTAAAGAAAGGTTCAAATTCTCTTTTTAAAAAATGTACATTTATCGTTAGTACCAGGGGTCATTCGAAGCCCATAAATGCTATCTTTATTTTCGTATAATATATTTTTTTATATGAAATGCAATAATGACTTTAATTTAAAATAAACGGGGTTTGTAGATATATGTGTAAGAAAATTTTTTAGACTTGTGAATAAATTTGAATTATTAAAGGGAGATTACTTGTTCCTTATATATATATATATATATATATATATATATATATATATATATATATATATATATAAACAAACCGTAATATGCCTAAAATATACCGATATTTATATTAAAAATTAATCTGGATCAACTTATTTAAGCAGATATTTATTTTATTTTAAGTGGTTTAAAATAAGCAATTTTCCAACAAGACATAAGTTACATTTATTACCTTTCCCGTTAAAAAATTTAGCGCTTGTTATACTATCCCAGTTGATTGATGGTGAGATGCCACCATTCTTTAACAGCCAGAAGTATTTGGAGAGAGTTGTGATGTTTTTGTATTTTATTTTACATTAGCTCCGTTGTATTAGCTCTGTTTTATTAACACTAGCACGATACATTCAATATATATATATATATATATATATATATATATATATATATATATATATATAGTTATACGTTATTTATATAGATACAAAAAATTAAAATATTTTCAGTTTGTTAATGACATAATTGCATAGTGCTTACGTATTTTTAATTACAGTTTATAGCTATAGCATAACATACAAACATACAATTAAGCAAAAAGTTCTAGAAGTCTCCCAAAAGTTATAATACTGCTATAATTATATACGATTTTAAAAATTTCGTATTATGGTGTCATTTAAAAAAAAATAAACTGAATTAAACTCTTCTTGATTATTTTTGAACAAAAATTCATCGAATTATGATACAGGAAATCAATTATTTTACAAAAAGTTATAAGCCCAATATATATAGATATGTGTGTGTATGTATGTATGTGTATGTCTGCGTATGTTTGTGTAGAGGGCTCAGTCTGAAAGTAATGCATTTTATTTATTCTGGTTGTCTACGACATCAGAGGCGGATTTTGTATGCCAGTAAAGATTGAGCCCTTGAACCCATAACCTATTATTTGAAAAATAGTGTTTTGTAAATGAAAATTTACTCTATTCAACGGTGTTATTTTGTAATAGTATTTTAAAAAATTATCATGGAAATTTTAGTATTTTAAAAATTGTCATGGAAATAAATGTATTTTTTAGTTTTCCCCTTTACTTTTGATTGCTTCTTCGTCCGAGACAAAAATAATAATCTTCTCAAATATACTCCATTAGGTACCGATCCCGAGGATACCCTTAGAAATGCCTTCTCAATGTTCGATGAAGATGGCCAGGGATTCATCCCAGAAGATTAGTAAGTATAATTTCCAGTTCTCCTTCAATAAATTACCTTTTTCTTGTCAGATGGTTGTGTTACTGTCAAACCAGCATTGGTGCTACAGACCCCTGTTCATATGCTTACAGATTGCTAAAGTTGTTAAATTATTCTTGAAGCTGAATCCTTGTTGCTAATTGTTCATAAAAATGAAAGTTAATTCTGATTTCAAAATGAGACATAAAGTGGTAATTCAGTTTTTACTTGAAAAAATAATATAACACCAAGAAAGTATATAATTATTAGTATATCTAATACTAATAAGAAAGTATATAATTATTAGTATATCTAATACTAATAAGAAAGTATATAATTATTAGTATATCTAATACTAATAAGAAAGTATATAATTATTAGTATATCTAATACTAATAAGAAAGTATATAATTATTAGTATATCTAATACTAATAAAGAAAGTATATAATTATTAGTATATCTAATACTAATTATATAATTATTATATCTAATACTAATAAGAAAGTATATAATTATTAGTATATCTAATACTAATAAGAAAGTATATAATTATTAGTATATCTAATACTAATAAGAAAGTATATAATTATTAGTATATCTAATACTAATAAGAAAATATATATTATATATATATATATATATATATATATATAATATATATATAATATATATATATAATTATTAGTATATCTAATACTAATATATATGTCAAATTGTGTGCTATGTATGTTATCGATTGCAACAAAAGCCAACGAAGTTCAGGAAACAATTATTGAATTCGACATACCAACAGGCTTGTTTAAAGTTTGTACAGGAGAATAAAGATCAAATTTAAAGTTTCAGGAGAGCATACTGTGGTCAGGTGAAAGAAATCAACTTATTTGGATCTGATGGTATCCTATGTGTTTAGCAACATCATGGTGATATGTACAAGGAAAAGTGTTTGATCTCAAGGATAAAGTATGTTGATGGACACTTCATAGTCTGCTATTGTATGAGCTGTAATGACACTGCTGAGCTGAATTTCATCGGAAGATTACATCAAAATGTATTCCAAGGTTTGGGAAGAAGAGCTATATCCCACTATGAAAATGATCCAAAACATTCCTCTTCGAAGACAACATGATTTGGATATTGGCTTCGTATGTCATCGAATTAAAATTTCGCTGAGTGTTTGTGGAATAGACTTAAATGCAAAGTAGACAAACAATGGCCATTCAACAAGACAGGTTTGGAAGAATGTATAGTGTCGTAGTGGGAAAACATTCCACTCATTGTTTGTGCAGATCTAGCGATATCGATGACATCAAGACTACAAGCAGTAGAAAGAAAATATTTACGGCCACACTAAATATGGATTTAAAACAATCTTCCTTCACTGGGGGATGGGGGGGGGCACATAAGTACAGAGTTTCAATTCTGTAGGAATTGGCAATAAATAAGGCGTCTTGACTTTAATGTTCTCCTAGAAATAATACAATTTTGGTATGTTTGGTTGAGAATAAAATTAACTTTTTAGGAAAAGTTTGTATGAAGGCACTTATACTAAGGCGATACTATCGTATTTGCCTTATTCCCGGCACATCCGTGTTAGAATTAGTTAGGGTTTCTGACCAAGAAACATACATAATGATAAGGAATAATTTCAAAAATGTTTTTTTTTGCGTGAGTAAGTGGGATAAAGGTATGGGGATAAATGAAAGAGACAGATATACTGATCGGATATCAGTGAAATAATGAGAGGCACGTAGGGATTAAATCATTTTTGTTGTCAAAGCATTTCCACGAGACAATATATATATATATATATATATATATATATATATATATATATATATATGTGTGTGTGTGTGTGTGTGTGGAGAGAGAAAGAGAGAGAGTGGGAGAGAGTATGAGAGAGTGGGAGAGAAAGAGAGGAGCGAATAAAAAATTGTTAATTTTAATTGTTGTCTCTTTATATTTCTACAATTTTAATTATTTCCTTTTGTTTCCAGTCTGAAGGATTTGTTGGAAAATATGGGTGACAACTTCACCAAAGAAGAGGTAGGTGTTTGCTCTTATTGTAGCTACTCCTTAGTGCAGATAATTCTTTACTTTTATTTAAGCCTAAAATGCACAATAGATTGTCATTTGTTGAACTAAACCGACATTAAATATATTACCAAAATATATTACTATAAGTCTGTTTAATAATTCATTTAGATATTTCAAAGGATTGCTTTTCGGTTACAAAAAAAAAAGTCTTTTTCTCAGGTTTTTATTTGTTTTCCTCTTATTTTAATTTCTCATTCTTCATGTTAAATTAAAAGAATATCGTTTGCTTCTTTCGTAGATCAAGAACGTATGGAAAGACGCTCCTTTGAAGAATAAGCAGTTCAACTACAACAAAATGGTTGACATTATCAAGGGTAAAAATGAAGATGATGAGTAATTTAGCGGTATAGGATCCGTGATAAATAAATGCATATATACATGTAGATATAGATAAATATATGCATTTTGGTAAATATTTATCTATATTCTCATGTAGGTATGTTCAGAATCAGCTGCAGCAACACCGAGAAGCTATAGACTCTTAAGTTATTAAGTTTTTTTTTTTGAACCAATATCTTAAATACAACAGCAGCCGAACAAATAACATCAGTTGGTTCGAAAGGATTTTTTGTAGGAAAGATTACAGAACCTGACGACAGAGAATTACAGAATAACATCAAAGTGAAGAAAATATATTAAAGGGAGATGCTGTTTTTTTAAACCATATTTCGTTCTTTTTTTTCGCTTTTTTTTTCTCCCCATTCCTCTAATCTACGTCTACCCTGATAGCCTTCAATGAATTAGGAAGACAACGAACTGTTTTTTCTTTTTTTGCCGTTTGTAATACCATCTAAAACAAATGCGGCATGTTTACCAACATATTTCCTGCACTACTACCGAAAAATGTCAGCAACATCAATGACAATCCCTGTCAGCAGAGCAACAAAAAGAAATGCGAAATGGAACCATTATTAAAAATAAAAAAAAAATGTATGAGAGAGAACAGTAACATCAAAGACAAAGACTGATAGATATTTATATCCTTGTCTATATAAATATATATCCAGATCCATCCCAATTCTGGAAGATATAATAAGCATAGCACCAACCAAAAAAATAACATCAAAAAGAGAGAGAAGGGTTATGATGTCGACAACAGCAGACATCAGAATTGTTTATGTTTATTTTATCTTCAGTAACAACAAGGAGAGTTATGAGTGAAAATGGCGGGAAATATTTCGCGCCTTTTTCTCTCATTTGATCTCCAATAATATTACCTTGCACGCAAGTCCAGCATTATATTTTTTTTCTTCATAATGTTTGAAATAAAATAATGACGGGAAATAGAGTTCTGCATATCAGTCTTTGTATAATTTGGCATTTTTTTAAAATCACACATTTTGTGTGTGTTGTTTTATTCGTGTTTTCACTTAATTGTGTATACATCTGTATGTGCATAGAGTTCTACATACATCTTTGCTTGTATGTGTTTGTACGTATTTATGAGTTATGAGTTTTTTTTTTTTCTGCGTTATTTTTATTTTAAAGATATTCCCCTTTCTGTTTATATCTTTACCAAAGTACAAACGTATACTTAAAAATATTGCGATTACATACATACATGCACACAGTCATCAGAAACACAAATAACAATTAAGATATGCATGCACAAGAACAGAAATACACTCACACACACACAAATATACATAGTGTAAAAATTCTAAAAAAAAGAATAATCAATTTAAATGAATTTATAAGCAAAGATAAAAACGTCATCTTAATCTTTTCGATGCCTTGATTGATTGATTGATTTTGGTTTCTTTGTTTCGATTTCTTTTTTGTGTCTGTTTTGATTAACCAATTTATTGAAGTGTTTGTTTTGTTGTTGAATAATTGCGAGATTATTTAATTAAAATTGTTTCAAAATTTGGTTGTAACATGTTATTAGAAACAGATTATTTTATGAGGTGAACATTTGCATACCGACAATTGTCTTCATGAATTATGTCAGAAAATGGCGTGCCAAATTTTTATCTTGTCGATTAAACCTTATCCAACACAAAGTCAAATCCAGCATCCGATCAGACTTCAAGGCTATCAAAATAAACATGCCTTCACCTTGGGATACGTGAATTATCAATTGAAACGATTAAGGTGATCGGGACTAAACACTCTGAGAATATATATATATATATATATATATATATATATATATATATATATATATATATATGTATATGTATATGTATATATATATATATATATATATATATATATATATATATATATATATATATATATATATATATATATATATATATATATATATATATATATATATATATATATATATATATATATATATATATATATATATATATATATATATATGTATATATATATGTATATATATATATATATATATATGTATATATATATATATATATATATATATATATATATATATATATATATATATATATATATATATATATATATATATATATATATATATATATATATATATATATATATATATATATATATATATATATATATATATATATATATATATATATATATATATATATATATATATATATATATGTATATATATATATATATGTATATATATATATATATATATATATATATATATATATATATATATATATATATATATATATATATATATATATATATATATATATATATATATATATATATATATATATATATATATATATATTTGTGTTCGGTTTAGGCTTTTGTTAAGAACTGACATCGTTTTCTATCATTATGTCTACTTTTTTTTTGCTTTAAGCCGTAAGTTCTCAAATAAAAATAGAGCACAAACATCAACTTCGGGCAGTTTGATCCATATGTTTAATTACTTATTCCAACATTGTAATGAAACAATTAAAAATAAACATTGTTCGTATAATCATGATATCAGAAAGTTATTTACTAATCTCCTCTTCGTGTATCAATTGCCGAATAGCCAAATGAAACAATTTATATACAAGATTAAAAGTTTAAATATATACTTTTCTTTTTATCTGTTTTGATAAGACCAAAATGATCCGGAATAAAACACCTTGTAGACATGCCAACTTTAACATAGTTCTGTAATAAGACATGTAATATAGATTCTAGCAAAAATGGCAAAGCAACTTTGTAATAACCTGGCAAAACAGTCCTAAATGCCCAATTGTATTGAAACAGAGACAATTTATCAATGTGATTCGTCTATAACTTTATTCTTAAGTCAGTCAGCATCATTAAATACGTGTATTATTATTATTTTTAATTATCATTTTTTATATGTACGGAACTATACATACATGCTTGCATACATACATACATTTATATATATATATATACACACACACACACACATACATACATATATATATATATATATATATATATATATATATATATATATATATATATATAGATGAGGAGGAGGAGGAGACAAAATAAGTGAAAAAATGTTTCCTTTCTGAAAATGAAAGGTAATGTGAATAAATAAATCTGTGTAACTGAGAATATTTAAAATATAAGTGCCGTATTTATGTTTTACAATTTCCCCTTATCAATCCGTCCAATAATTTTACAAACACATAAATTAATTCGTCCCTCCCCTATCTATCTATCTATCTATCTATCTATCTATCTATCTATCTATCTAAAAAGCATACGATGTTTTGCTTCAAACACAGTACTTTTGTAAATTATCCTCGCCGTAATAACAGACTGATTTATTTTTAAATAACAAACAAAAGTATCATGGAAAAATGGTACTTGTTTGAGACGCCATTCACCAACGTGCCTTAAATAAATAAATAAATAAAAATAAAATTCAGAAACGTGTAATCTCTATAAAATTGGATTGTTTTGAATAATCATTAGTCAAACCGAGAGAAATAGTTCCCTCATAACTTGGCCTAATGTAATTTCTGTCTTGAAAATATTTAAGTGTTTTGTTTTTTTTGACACATTTTATTTTCATTTAATTTCTTTTTAACCAAATAAATCAAAGTTTAGTAATATATGTTCGTTTATTTTTCAATTAACTGTTAAATTTTTACCAAATTGCATATTGCTAAACACATGAAATAAGCATGCAATCACGAGAAGCATGATTATTTGGATGAAGTCTACTTTTAGATTGGAATAAAAAAAATGTAATTGTAGTAATATCTTTGGAATATTGGTTGATATTTCGAATCGTACTTACGGAATATTTTACATTTTAATTATTTAAGTTGTCACATCCCTTTTAACACTACAATCAGCGGTTGAGGTTCAACAATCGAATCATCTAGAAAGGTTTGAGATGTTATGTGTTATACGAGGGATGCAAAAACCTCCTATTTGTTTCCATATAAACTACAGCAAATAAACTGAGTACAATAACACATTTGGACAGAGCAAGTTTTTCAGCTACAAAGACATTTTCGCCTGCGATGAGCAAAAGCCTGTATGCTGCGCTCGTAAAAAGTGATACCAGCGGAAACGATCAACTTTTAAATGAAAACGGTTATTCGCTGTCTAACTATGCTCATATCCAGTGTTTGGTCTCGTAATGGTCACGTAGGGGTCGATGAATGTCAATGCTTTCAGTTTCTTTTCGTATGTAGAGAAATCCAAGGATACACCTCTTCCACATATCTACATTTATGTCGGATGTCATTTTGCCAGACTGCCGCTCAGCAACAAAACAACTTACACTTCTGACGTCTTGATCAACATTATAATAAAATAGGAGGCATTAATTTCGGAACACACACACACACACACACACATATATATATATATATATATATATATATATATACGCACACAAAAGATATATTTTATATTTTATATGTGTGTGTGTGCATGTCTTTGCATGTTAGTATCTGTACGTTACTGCTTGTGGGTGCATGCAACGTGTCTATATAATGATCTAAATGATTTATAATTATTTTAAGAATATGCATGTATGCAACGTGTTATATATATATATATATATATATATAAAAGAGAGAGAGAGAGAAAGAGAGAGAGTAATTTTTCGAAAGACTGAACATTCTCCATGTTGTATTGTAACCTGAACCGTTCTTTTGTCACAAACAAATTTTCCTTTACATAATGGTGGCATTCTTGTTTCTTCATTCTCTTTTTCTCCAGTTTTCTTGCGGACAGTATAAAGCTATCTTCTGTTGATCTCGTAATAAACGGTCAACAAAGAAACTGCTATGACAAAGTAAATCCAATAGAACCGCATGAGAATATGTAAGGGAAGAGAGTCAAAGATTATTCTCATTCGTGTGTATAAAAGGGTATAAAGTATTGAACTTAATTAACCAAACTTTGTTCTGAAATTTTACTGCATAATGTTCAATTTATGTCATCTATGAACGCATAATGGATTAAGTACAATAGCAATATGTTGAAAAATATATATGTAAAATAGATGGATTTTCATCATTAGGCTATACTGATGATCTCATATATATATATATATATATATAAGGAAGCGGTTATAGCTGTTCCAACGAGAGAAAAGCGTATATTTTAAAAAGAAGAAAGAAAACGCAAACGTTTTTGGTTATGATGTGGATTTTTTAAAAATATATATTATACTTCATTTTGCATATTTTTCAAATATATATTTTTAAAAAATCCACATCATAACCAAAAACGTTTGCGGTTTCTCTCTTCTTTTTATCATCTCTATCTCTATCTCTCTCTCTCTCTCTCTCTCTCTCTATATATATATATATATATATATATATATATATACTTACTTTAGTTATAATAGTACACAGATCTAAAAATAATTATTTTATGTAAATTTTGAGCTTTATATATGTTTAAATTAAAGCAGATTTTATTACCTTTGAAACTATATCTTTTTTTGACCGGAATATGGGCAATTTTCATTAATTCGTCGTCACTTACAAGTTCATTACACGAAATTAACTTGAAATTCAATTAGAATTGAGATAAAAATTCAATTGGAATTGAAATAAAAATTCTATTAAAATTGACATTACTGCGGTGAGTAAGAATCTGGGGTAGAGTTTGTGTAAATTATTAAGCTGAAGTTATTGTACAAGGTAAAAGCTTCTGACGTTGGATACCCAAAAAGGACGATTTCAACAACTGATGGCTATTTTGATGGAACATGGTGTAAACAACGGAGAAAAACCACCATAGAAATAGCATAAATATATTTAACGATTAAACACGATATTTAAATGATTAAGCACGGTTATGGTGTCGAGCTGGAAGTTTAGTAATGTTATCAATCGGTTGTATGAAAATGCGGGAATTATGAATAGAGTTAAAATTAAAACCAAATTCTAGGGATCGGTGTTCAGCATAATAACAATCCAAAACACATTGTCGGTACTTAGATTGAAGATCATAATATTGGAGTACAGCAATAGCCAGTCCAGGACGGATTTCAGTTTTAAGTTTTTAACTTAAAGGGTTAAATAATTCAAACAAATATCAGATACAATGAGCCTTCCAATACGAACTACATTCTTTTTACTCGAATACCTTCAGCAATTTTAAGAAAAGTCATTATCATCTTATAAAAACTATCAAAATACAAAGATCTTGAAGTGGAAATCTAAAGAATGTGGCACATAAAACCATCAATAATTCTAATCGTGGTTGGAGCCTTGGGTTTGATTGAAAAAGATTCTGATGGACTCGCTGAAAGTATCTTTCGTTGAACACTCCTTAAACATACAAAAAATTGTTCTCATAAGTACAGTTCACACCTTACGAGGGGCTTTATCTATGTAAAATTGTCTTAATTTTCTTCTTCTGTAACTAAAAGCACAAAAACGACTAAATAGGATTCAGGATATCTTTCTAATCAAGATTTGAATTCAGTTCGTTAATTTTATTTCCGAACCACAATTAATTCGCAGTTCTTTTATGTATCATGTTCATTCAGGACATGAGTGAGATGGCTCTCCACAACTTCCTTGCTATAAGTAACATTTGACTCTTTACTATCCCTCTTTATTCCTTTTATTCATTCAGATAAATTCGTTAAGTGGGTTAATCGCTGTTTCCTCTTGCTTCTTATTGGATTAGAAAGTTTTAAAGAAGGTTGATCGTCCTATGAAAATAGTGAATGCTGGACAATTTCCTCCCAGATAAAGCAGAGCCTTGAGGCAACTTAAATGCGTTTCTACAGACGGATGCCGAGAATAACATAGACAGGACATATGTGTAACGAGGAGGTTTTTACAGGAAATAGGAAGTAAAGGGACATATTTAAAATCTGAAAGAAGCAACTAAAATTCCAGGACGCATATTGGTGAAAGGGAAACTAGGAAAATTTAAGAAACTTCTGAAGGTAGGAGGGACAGAGGGAAAAAGTAACCTCTTTAGTGGGTTTTGAGCGAATGGATTGCTGAGGAGGACGGCATAAGGAGGGTCAATAGAGAGTCAATCGTTGCTTAGAGCTACAAAATACAGGAAGTTATGGGGAACCATGAACCTCCAACACTTGAGGAGAAATCGCTGATAAAAGAATAAGAATATTACAGAGTGTGTTTCTTTTCTAAATTAAGACATCAAGGGCGAAGTTGTCTCAAAGTTCAAATAAAAATTAATAATGAAAAATAAAAATTAACTCAAATTTATTTTTTCTTGTACGCAAATACACGCAGACGGGATCATGGGCGAACGCACACACGCACATGTACACTATGAGAGAGAAAAAAAAAAAGTAATAACATTTGCACCAATGAAAAGTGCATATCAAAAAGAAATATCGAGAAATATAACCAGTCAATTGCTGATATTCGATGACGTGTGGACGATGTAATTCCCGGAACTTTCCTCGAAATTCTGGAGTCTGGAAGGTAACTTCAATCAATTAAGTGACAAAAATTTTATATATATATATATATATATATATATATATATATATATATATATATATATATATATATATATATATATATATTGTTAAAACAACAGATATTTCAAGTCTATTATATTTAATCTTTGGGCAGATAAATTGGACAAAATTCCTGTTGTGTTGTCCCAAGATTTCAACTCGCATAAATAATCATTAAGAAATTAAATGTGTTTTTATAAATAGATTGTATCATTATTTTTTGAAAACTAAATCAAGTCATGTGGCACTAAAGTGTCGCAACGTGTTTGGAATAGTAAATAGAGCATGGAATAATATTTTGTATATACATTTAAAAATGTTGGGTTCCAAACAAGAGTTATTTTCATTTATGGATGGTTCTTAAAGTTGGATGCAAATGATTTCTATAATCTTTAATATATTTTTTTAACAATTAGATTTATAAATTATTCGAGTATTATTAGAAAGAAACTGTTTAATATTATTTTAATTCTTGTGGTGCTTATTGATGTGTTGTCAACAATCATATTTGCGCAAAGGTATTTCTATGATCATTAAATATAAAAGACACATAATGTTTATAGTTTTTCACGATACATGTTTAAAAGAACAATTCATACCGAATATATATATATATATATATATATATATATATATATATATATATATATATATATGTTTAAACTTTATTTTTTAAAATGATAGATATTATATCTACAGAGGCCTGATTATTCCAGAAAATCCGGCAATAATCGAACCTGCGTTCCGGGGGGGAAACTGTCATTAGATATGACATGCATTAGACCAAACAAAAGACAAAAGCTCGAATAGTGATTTTGAATACACATTTTCCGATTCACGAAAATATATATATATATATATATATATATATATATATATATATATATATATATATATATATATATAATTTTGGATTTAGAGCGGTGGTTTGCTTTTTTCGTATTGTTAAATGAATATAAAAGAAAGCCGATTAATCATGGTTTTTATACTGATATACCAAACGGTTTAACAACATTATATACAAACTCACTTGCACATATGCACATGCACACGCGTGAGTGATTTCGACTCTCCAGTGACTTTTGTTGGGATCAATTAGTTCCTGATAATGCGAAATCGCGTATTACGTTTATTTTGCATCGAACAAGAAGTGTTTTCCTACATATACATATTGTTCACGCCATAGTCTTTTAAAATTTATTTCAAAAGATGTTTTTTGTTTTATAAAGAGCCGTTTCAGCTTTTCAGGTGGGTATAATGACATCTTTTCAAGTAGTAACTTTTCCATGAAGTTTAAACAATAGCAATATGTTAATACGTCTGCCATGATGATGTCGTTATAGGCGTGTTCATAGACATTGGTGAGTTTATAGATGTCGTGGATGTAGTTGTAGATGTGTGCGTAGCGGCGGTTGTTGTGGATTTTGCCATTGATTGGTCTGTGAAAAGTTTACTATTTTCTTTCATGCACTTCACGTTGTAAGTTGGTTGCGTCAAGTGCTCACATTGTAAGAACTGCAATTCCTTAACTTTATTGGCCAAAATTCTTGCTGCAAGCTTTTGGAATGCTAAAAGTTCCGATTTTTCTTGAAGCTGAAAAAGAAAAAGAAAGCAAAGATATAAACCATCATTCTTAATTTCAGATGTGTATTTCTTAAAATCTTGTAGGAAATAGAATTATATATAAATTTTCCTCTACGATGCAAACATATACTTGTATATATTGTTTAATCGTTTCACCCCAAGCAAAGTAACAATGCCATTAGAAGTGAAGGGAGTTACAGAATGAGAAGTTGAAGATTGAAAATGGGGAGGAATGACGTTGCATTTAAATTTTTGAAGATTGTGGGTATCAGAGAAGAAGGAAATCTGAAGGGAATTCTACATTTAGGAAGTGCGAGAAAAAACTGTTAGATTAGAAATCACAGTTGCATTTAGCTAGTTAAACAGTACAACGGTGAGACCTAGTTGCCAGACTAATAGAACGCTTAACGTCATGTCGTCTGGACATCGCCATTTTTATCTAAAGCTTGATAGATAACTCCAGACATGGTCATAAACATGTCGGTGGTAGACCTGGAGAAACAGAAGCTATATTGTTTGTGAGAGGAAGGGGGAAAGATAAAAGTAGAAGCGATAGATGAGTGAGTTTAATAGAGAAAGCTGGAGAAACATGTAAAAGCAGTCCGGAGACTCAAAAGAGAGTTCCCTTGGCAGCGGGAGATGGTCCCGAACACAGACACCAAGGCCATGCATGTGAATATTAAAGTCTTTCTGAAAGAGAGGAAGATAACAAGGAACAGATAATTCAATGGGAGAGATTAAAGAATTCAGATTAGTTTCACAGAGAGACTTCCAAGAAGAACGATTCCACACTGCAGAAATTGGTACGAATACTACGAATATTGAAGAATGAAAGATTGAGTGATTTAGGTATTTTTGCTGAGTTGGTTCAGTTGTATTTTGTTTATTGTTTTTAATCATGGTAATTCTTTAAGAGGTGGAAAGGCCAAGAATAATAGTAGCTGCCGGACGTCTAAAAGGTAATATGTGCTGGCTGGCAATATATTGTGGCCTCAGAATTGCATATCGGAAGTGATTACAGGAACACCTTTCCATGCGCGACATGGCACTGCAGGAATCCCAATATTATGCAATTGTTTATCAGAGCAGTCTCTCTAGATTCTGTTCAAGAGTTCGGGCTTCTAAATAACAGTCAGGATGCAGCAATCAGAAGACAGCCAACACGGTAGTACTCTCAATATGAAAAGTCGTAACCATCCAGCCATATCCCCCAAAAAGTCATGACAGTCACCATTATTAAGGCCTCGGAAGAAGGAAACAGAAAACCCCATCCTAAACGGGAAACAAGGGATAGACCTCTACACCTGTTCAATAAAATGGGAAGGAGTGTATATATATATATATATATATATATATATATATATATATATTTATAAGCGTGTGTGTGTGTATAGAAAGAGAAATAGAGAGAGGAGAGAGAGAAACCGAGAGTAAGTTTCAATTCATGAAAATCGCTTGAAGTGTGAAACTGATTACTCAGCATGTAGTGTTTATTTTTATGTGTTTACAGTCTATAGGTGCATACACTCAGTTTACGTTACTGAGTTTTCTTCTTCCATTGATATAACATATTCTGTACAATCCACACACACACACACATAGACACACACACACACACAGAGATATATATGTATATATATATATGTTTGTGTTAAAAAGAATTCACATCGAATACTGTCTAAAATCAACATGATCTCCTGAAGAGAATGATTGAAATAAGGATCGTCCGGTTCACACTCCTATCCCGTCATTTGAACGAGAGTAGAGGTTTATTCGATTGAGTCTCTGGCTCCTATAATCTTTTCATTCTCTTTCACTGCCAATAGCCCCTTCTGTCTCAATGGCATTATCACCTTGCTTATATTAAATTATTTTAAAAAAAGTACTGGGATAGTTATTAAGCATGGAGTAATGTAGTGATTGAAAATTTATTGACATCCTTCAGTAGTTATCACTAAAGCCATGGCTTGAAGTTGTTTTCGACAACATTTTTTCAGCACTTCTTGACAAAGTTTTTAAACTATATTTATTCAGATTATCAAAGTCTGAGAGGAAGTTGTGTTTGTTTTCGAAGAATACACGTCGTCAGTTTGGCATTTGACATGTGCACTGATAACCATTGCAGTAAACGGAAGCAAGTTCCTGACAGATATCTCTATCAAGTCATACTAGAAATGTAATAATTTCATCTTCATATAAAGTTAATCTGTTAATTTTTCAAATGATAAATGCATAAAATAATGAATGAATTTATCAAGAGGTTTAACAAATAGCCTTAGATTATGTAGCGTTGCGTTATAAACATTGACAAATTGAAAGTTATGATTTCAAGAGAAAAATAAAAACTTTAAACCTTTTTCATTAACGCATTTTTATTGCTTCATGAAAGCGTGATATTTTATGATAATATTATTGTTGTAATATTTCGAAAGTTTTAATTGTTAACGTCTGCATGTTAAAACAAAAAAAATAATAATAAGCAACGCCTTTAAAATTGAAAAAAAAAAAAACAAATGGCGAAATTACTCCACTACTGAAGTCACCATAGTTTAAGGAACGCAGAAAAGAAAAACATAAAAAAGTAAATCAAAGAGTTAGTAAATACGTTATTTTATCAGTTTTCAGGAATTTTACCAATTCTACTAGTTTAAATTCCACCCATTCACTAAAAATTGAATCAACCATTTAAGCAACAAAAATTAGGCAACTGAACACACTGGTCAGAATCATAAATTAATTATAAAAAGAAAAAAATTAAAATATGCAAACAAAAAAGGAAACAATTGTAGATCGATTAATTATTGAAGGAGAAGTCGTGAAATTCACGGCTTCTTCAACAATCAGCGATCAGTTGTACTTCCAAGTGGTTCTAAGTAATTATTTCAATTTACTTACAGTCTGTGAAAAGATTTAATAAACATATGTTTACCATTTCCAATAATAGTGTGACAAAGTGAGGAGAATCGAGAGATTCGAGGTCCAACTGTTTCAATTTGGCCGTGGTCAGATTTTGCGATGTCTGGGATTCGTGAGGCGTTGATTTTCCATCTTGGTCTGTGGAAAGACCAAGGACAGCATGAAGCACTAAAAGTGAAAAAAGTAATGAATTTCCACTCAATCAGATGAATGAAAATACCTTTTTGTTTTTTACTCTGAATGTTCCTTGACTAAAGAAAGGTTTACAGCAAAATGATTTTCATAGTGATAAGAAACTAAAGAATGAAATGAATGTAAAATCACATTGAACACATGTACACACACACACACACACACGCCCAAACACAGACGTTCGTCTTCACGACGCAAGCATACACTCATATGTTTATAAAAGGGGAATTTTGAAAAGTTCTCTGCCTACAAAAACAAAAAAAAAAAAAAAAAAAAAAAAAACTACCGCATTCACCAAAATATAAAAAAAAACAATTATTTTGGGGAGTGGGTCGAGGCGAGAACTTTTAGCGTCCATTATATATATATATATATATATATATATATATATATATATATATAGCGCTCGGACTAGAGAGAACATTCAGACAATGCCCAGAAAGAAGAAAAGTATAAGAATACATGAAAAATTAAATAAACAACAACCGCAGTAACTTGTCAATTGTTTTTAATAAAACTTGTATAAAAGAGGGATTGCTGCCTAAATACACAATTATATATATATATATATATATATATATATATATATATATATATATATATATATATATATATAACAAAACTAAGGTTAACATTTGATCTAAAAATATTATCAATCGCAATTGCTTATCGTATTAATTCTGGCTTTACGTATCGCATTTCCAGTTATAATTTGAAATAACTTTAATTTGAATTTCACTTTATTAATTTGAAATTAAAGAATAGCTTCTATTTTTCTCTATAAAATCACTAGAAAATATCTTTTCTAACACAATGCTTTTTTCCCAGCTCTCAAAAAATTTTAAAATTTATATAATCAAAATTGGTGTAAGATTTATGATTCATTCGACAGCATTGAAAACGAAAGCGTAATAATTTATTAACAATAATTTCGTTTTTAAATGCACAGGTTAAGATTCGTTTGTTTTAGTTGTTTAAATTTAATTTCTCCAATATTACAAATTTTAATGTTCGGAACTAACTGACATTGATAATAATCATGAAAAATAACTTCCATTAAATTTATTTTTTATATAAAGATAACAATGACATTCGATAAAACTGACATTAGCTAAGACAAAAAAAGAAACGAAACCGAAAATTTGAAACTTTAAAAAGAGAGATTTTTAAAAGAATAATCCGTGGCGTAATAAAACATCACCTTTGTTCCATAAAAGTTGTTACATTTATTGTATGAAAAATGATTATGAATGTAAGAACAGAGGTAATAATATCTTTCGCGTTATTAAAATGTTGAAGTTGAAATATAAATAAAGTGGCAAATCATTTTAGGTGTTGAATTGTTGTTAGATATTGATTTGTTAAAACTGTCGCAGTGAAATGTCCCATATCCAACCGTGAATCAAATTGTCGTTGATTAAGTGTCGAGTAGTTGGATGCTAAAGTCACAGATAAATGTCTAGACATTGTCGATAAAGTGTATTTCATCGTATTTGATTCATCTACATATATTCTCTCAAAGTTAAAATGAAAGAGAGTCTTTTTTTCTTGTAAGAGAATGTCAAAGATATTACGTACCTGATTCAGAGTCTTTGTTCAGTTTGAAACTACTTGAGCCTTTTTTGTCTCTTCTGGTATTCAAATCATTGATACACTTCATCAGCTGCTTGCTACTTAGCAGCTGTTCTTCAAAAGCGTATCTGTAAGCGTCCATCGTGAGATAAGCTTCTTGCCTTAGCTGGCGATTTAGATCCATCTGTCGGATTGATAGCGGAAGAGAAACGTGGCTTTTAATTATGCTTCCCAAGCTATCATTTTCATCAACAAAACATTTACGACATTAAAACTAATGCACGAAAACACAATTTAAAACGTACTTATTATTGTTTATAAAATCCAGAATACAGACATGTATATAACCGCAGATTAGTTTAAAAAGGACAAATCTTTCAGTATTTTTCTGTATTTTTACTTATTTTGAAACCTTATCTTTGAAAGCGTAAACCGTGAAACTTTGAATGTTATTTCCTACCTTTATAATAATAACACAGCACAAATGATAATGGCAACTCTTATTCCGTCATTTAATAGAGATTATTTCACTTTAATAATAATAATTTTACTTAACGCTTTGAAACTGTATAAAGTCTCCTTGGTGATAGCAAATTACCTTAAATATAGCATGCGACTGTGGAAAACTAAATTATACCTAAATCGCACCAAAAATACTGTCACGTCTAATTGCTTGAATATCCGACGAGTAATCTTTGAAGGAGGCTCCCTGTCACCCTTTTTATTTGCCTTTAAGCCTCGCATGAACTAAAGAATAATAACTATGAATACAAAGTAAACAAGAAAGTATTTAATCGATTATTCTACATGGATCATATCAAACTCTTTGTCAAAGACGACAATGCGTTGAAGGCTATCCTCAATAATGTAAAATGTTTCAGTGATAACATTTGTATGGATTTCGGATTAGATAAACGTGCAGAAGTAACATCCAAGAAAGAGAGAATTACAGAAACATACTGAATAGATCAAGATTTTGACACGAAGATTAGGGAAATAGATAAAAAAAGAAGCCTATAAATGGCTAGGAGTCAGCGAAGGAGATGTAATACAGCATACCCAAAATGAAAGAGAAAGTAAGAAAACAATACTACTGGCATGTGCGTCTAGTGCTAAATACCGAGTTGAAAACAGAATGTCAGCCATAAACAATCTGGCTACCCCTGTAGCGAATTACAGTTTCAACATTTTTAACTAGACCAATAAACGAATGAATGTCAAAGGGAGAAAGCATGTATCATCCTGAGGCTGGTGTTGATCGTCTGTATGTGCCCAGATCAAAAGGAGTTGGAGGATTAGTTCAACTAGAACTGTCTTACAAAATTACAACAGTCGGTCTTCAAAGATACCTGAAAATTACAGAATTCTGGATGATTATCTATGTCAGAGAATATGAAAGAAATAAGAGACTTTATTCAGTAATAAAGGAAGCCAACAAATTCAAATGGAATTTCAAGTGGTTGAAGAAGGCCAAGTAAACCATAATACATCTACTGTATCGGCAAAGAACCTAAAAGGCAAAAGAAAATGCAGAAACGATGGCGAGATAAACCACTTCATGGTCAATACTCTGCCCCTGCCTAATAAGCTGACCCATCAGTGGTTACATAGTTCCGGGTTAAAAGCTGAAACCGAGGGTTTTACTCTTGCTGCACAGGACTAATGCTGGCTGACTAGAAATATCTAGAACGCACACTGAAATGTTTGTTAACCCCAAATGCAGATTCTGTGATAAATATCAAGAAATAATTGGTCATCTTGTAGCGGGTTGCACGGTATTAGCACCCACTGAATAAAAAACTCGACATGACAGAACGGGACATTGTCTGCAACTATATGGAAAATCTGTAACTTTTACGGGAGGAAAAGCACAAGAAATTGGTATGAACATGAACCTAGACATGGTTTCGGAGATAGGACCTGTAACAATTTTTGGGACATTACAATACATACAAGCTGAACAATTAAAGCTAATTGCCCAGACATCGTGGTCAAAGATTACAAAAATAGAATGTGCTTTCTTATTGATATAGCAGTTCCTGCAGATAATAAGATATCTTTGAAGATCTTCAGGAAACTATCAAAATACAAGGACTTTGAAGTGGAAATCTAAAAACTGTGGTACATGAGGTCATCAATAATTCCAGTTGTAGTTGGAGCCCTCGGATTGATTGGAAAATAGACACATTGAAAAGATACCTGGTAGCGTATGCCTTAAAGAAATACAAAACATTGCACTCAGAAGTTCAGCTTACACCTTACAAAGGGCTTTATCTATGTAAAATGTATGTGATATTAGGTTGCCATTTTTTTTACACAGTCGAAAATATTATGTTGTTATTTCTGACCTTAGGTCTCCGGTTTGGATCCAGAAGGAAATAAGTTTACAGCAGAAATCAAAGGAAATAATAATAATAATAATAATAATAATAATAATAATAATAATAATAATAATAATAAAGCTAATATAGCATGCCAATTTAAAAAGTTATTAAAATAGACTAGGTGGTGTTGGTGATATACTGAAATATTTGACCATGATATTTACACAAAACAAAATCTGTCTTAAAGAATGAAAAATACAAAATATTCTTTGACTTTGAGATTCAAACAGATCACCCAATCCAGGCAAGAACACAAGACAAAATAAGCATGAACCAGAGGAAAGCATTTAAAATTTTGAATTTCGAAGTTTCAGGAAAACATTGGGTAAAATTAAAATTAGGTTCAGGGTGCGATCGGTAAATTGTCTCTATTCTATATTTTTAATTTCGCGCATGCGCATTGTTTGTTTTTGATTTTATTGACTGCACAGTATAGTAGGGTCTGTTGGGCACTGACTGTGAGAAAAAGAGCACCATGACGCAATTCACTGTACTACAAATTTGGAAACGGTATACTTTACTGTTTTGGCATTCGCACCGAAAACTTGAATACGAACATTTCAGAGTGTTTGGATGTCAATGCAGAGGATTCGGAAAGATTTCGATGAGACTAATGGTGATTTCGAAGGTACGGCAGTTCGGAAAACTCATTCTGATCGTTCAGTTAAGAAAAGAACTCCCGAATTTTCTCGTGAGGGCTTCATACTCAACAGGAGGTCTATATCGTGCCTTGAGGAGGTAGTGTTTCCCTGGGTCAAGAGGGTGGCTGCTGGAAGGCCCTATGACTGACAACATGACTCTGCCCCATGCCACACAAATAGGAAAACCCAGTCATGACTGTCAGACATTTTCTGCGATCACATTACCCCTTACCTCTGGCCGCTTAACTCCCCAGACTGCTACCTTCTTGATTATTATGTGCAATCGTGCGAAAAACCAACAAAACTCCTTGTAACACCAAAGATGAACAAAGGACAACCTAAATAAGTAAACCGACCAGAAGAGTTACAGGCGATTCGGAAGTCGTCTGGAGGCCGTGGTTAAAGCCAATGACGATTTTATTGATTACATTTACTCTTTAGTATTTCAAAATATTTTTGTGCAGTTTTGGTAAATATATCTGTTAAAATGAAATGTCAGTGATATTTTCATTTTTAGGTCATTTAGTCGACAATTTATCCATTGCATCCTGTACATACCTGGACCACAACAAATAAATTGTAAAAGACGAAGGTGAAAGTTGTATTATTTTCAGTCTATGAAAATAATCTAAAAACTGCACAGATTATCGAACATGACAGAATGGAGATACAGACAGATTGACCCTTGCAAAGAACTGGAGATAGGAATACAGTGAGTATGGGGGTAGAACCAGATTGATCGTTGCAAAAAGATGGATTTAGTGAAATAGTGTGTACGTGGTTACAGACTGATATTTGCAAAAAGAGGTGGATACAGTGTGTATAGAAATACAGTTAGATTGACCTTTGCAAAGAAGTAGACATCGAGATGCAATGAGTATGCAGCTACGAACAGATTTACCTTTTGCAAATAAATAGAGATAAAAATGTTATACAAAATCACTAATGATGTCAGTAATAATACTGCAAAAATTGCAAATGTGAATAGACTTCTGTTACTTGATATTTAGTGATAGCCTCTCCCAAAATACCTTGGCTGAAAATACATTTAATAATAATAATGAATTTAAAACCTATCTGTACGAATTATGTTGTATCATCTCTTATTTTCTTATGTAGAGCTGATAGCAAATAAGAAAGGTAACATTATTTCATTATCTCGACCATAATACGATAGACTCATACCCGATACTATGATGTAGTTACATCAATACGTCCGCAGTCTAATAATGACAAACATTTATTTTACAAAAGATATTCCAACTTTAATCTCATTCTTTCTTTATATGGTGGATATTAACCACATAGAGTGAATACATATTGAAAACTGGAGATCAAAATTCAGTTAATAACTATGTATCAGGATAGGGACTTATTGTCGAGAGTCTGAATTCATTTTTGTCTTAAACGATAATAAAAACCATATTTACAATACTGTAAACATGCAAGGGAGTAATACAAATAGAAATAATACTGTACGTCTTCTTTTATTTTGAGGAGCTCTCTGTGTAGATTAGCGGCCGAATAGGCACAACCGCAAGGTTCAGTTCTATGGCCACGGCACATGCAAGCTCCTAAGATGGCGAGCTGAGAAAAAAGAGAAAAGACAACAGGGAAGAATAAATCGTTAATCGTTTGATGAGTAATATAAATCATTAAAAAAGTAAAAACAATTATATTTTAAATAGCCTTGATATTTTGATATTATTATTATTTCTTATTGAGTGCTACTAATAAAATATACAAATTCCAATATGCCCAGAATGACATCCCATTCTGATGAAGCATATAATCATGATCAAACACAAAAAAATGTACGTGATAAGGTGATTGGCTTTGCTAAAAGCAGTACATAAACCTTAGAGGTGGGTCCCCGTTAGAAATACCTTTGGGTAGTGAAACCCAGTCCTCAGACGGTTTCTGAATAAATGTATTTCCAAGTATCTAGATGTGACGCTTAAAGTCGTTTTTTGGCTGCCTCATCCTTCAAACTTTAAACATCAAACAACCGTCTCGACATCCGGTTACGATGTTCTCTTTCTATTCCCATTTATAAACAGAGATGCATATTCAGCCAGCTTCGAGGGGACACATTCAACTGATTAATGTCAGATAACAAGCAAATCCGTGGTACTAAGCGGGATGTTTACTGCAGTTCATCTTAAATCTCCCACCAACCCCAAAAGATGTATTATTATTATTATTATTATTATTTAGGATTGGCCTAATTCTGATTTAAGGATTAACAGATAAATGTGTGAAATGTAGCAACGGAAAAAAATTCAAAGTGTGTCGATTTTATTAAAAGCAGGGCATTTTGGGGATAGTAAACATTCTTCCAATGTAAATTTATGAGGCATTAAAACAAGATAAGTGAAGATATGCAGCAATCGTAAAAATACATAAAATCATTAAATGGGTTGGCCAAAATGTTCTGATTTGTTTAATTAGAAAGCATTAGAATTGTTTAGTTTCAACTAATTTCATTCAAAATGATAGCTGAAGAGTGCCATGTGTCAGACCAGCGTGCACATTTTAAAACTGACAAAATTGGCATATTTTTGTTAAATGATTCTATCACTGAAGATAGAAGAAAATCCCCAACATTTTCAGTTAGGTATTTTTATTTCAAGAAAGTTAAAAATGCGAATCAGATGTTAAAAAAATATTTCGCTAGTGGAATAACTTCGATTCATATTGAGTTAACCACAGTCCCACATTTACAGAAATGTGACAAAGTAAGCTACCCAGATTAAAAATGTACGAGGCAATGAGAAATTTTAACACTATACAAACCTCAGTCGATGAAAATGAACTGTATTTGTCATTCTCATCTTCGGCGTTGTTGTGTGTTTTAACATACTTCATTTTCTCTTGTACGTCCAACAAAGCCAACAGTTCATCACGTTCTCTTGTCACAGCTGTGCATGGAATTAGAAAGAAATTAAGATTTTCAGTTACATTTTTGACGATGTATCAAAAAAGATTTGTTGAACAATTGTCCAATGTTGTTTCTATATTTTGTCTATTAGGTGAGCGTCTGTAAGCTTTCTTCTTCATGACAAGATTTCGAATGTCGAAGATCAACGCAAGAAGAAACTGATGTTATATGATCTTTTAAAATATAACGTCATTATAAGAAATGATCAAGGTCATTTTAGACAGATCAAGCTTTTCTATTTTCGAATTATCAAAATTTAATTTAGAATTAACATGGTTAATATTAAAAATTTAATAACTTTTATCTCAAAAATTTTAAGATAGAAATAAAATAAGACACTCTCTTTTTAAAAGAAATGTTTCAGTTCATTTCGATGACTGGATTATTATTTTGTTTTGAAAATAAAAGTAGAAGAATATTAACTTACCCATTTTTTGGGATACAGCTCTTCGCAGTTCTTCTGAACGTTCTTCATATGCAGACAATAATCTGACATTTTCTGTACACACGCTTTTAATACAAGTAAAATAATCTCGATAGTATTCAAGTTTGTACTTTTTCAATTAGCATTTTAGTTTGTTTCGCTAATTACTATATTTAGAGATTAATTGTAAAAATACAGAGTTAGAATTTTTTACACCAACAATAAAAATAAAACATAAAAAATAACCAATAAATCAAGACTTGTCAAAAGGGAAAAGAAGAAGACTGTGCCCTCAATTATTCTCTCCTCCCCCCCTCTCTCTCTCTCTATATATATATATATATATAATCATATCTAGTGAAGTCTCTATGTGCATATATGCAATTATCTGGTGTCTGTAAACGAATAGATTAAAAGAGGAGAAATGATTTTGGTAACGAACCGGTCGAATCTGCGGGCCCAAGTCTCCTGGCTGTCCATTAGTGTTGATTCTTGTTGTTCAAGTGCAAACTGAAGGCTATTCACGGCCTGAAATGAATGGAGGCAAATAAAAGTAGAAAACTATCAAGTAAAGCTGATAAGTAGGCATGGACAATGGAATCAGTTGTCTACTTTTTATAAAAAGTATGATTTGTAAAGTGTAATAGTTTTGTAGATTTCAAGAGAACTATTTCTCCCACTTTTCTCTCTATCATACATATACATACACCCACATACGCATATATATATATAATCGGTATCATCTCAAGCAAGGCAGTAATGCCACTGAAACACAAGGGGTTACAGAGTGTGGAAGAATTAGAAATAGAAACAATAATAATGAGCAGAAAGAGAAGAGAGTAAGCAGGAGGACAGTAGATAGCAATAGATATTCGTTTTGAGGAGAGAGAGAGAGAGAAAGAGAGACAGAGAGAGGGAGAGAAACCACCGTCATTGTCACTATCTGTCGTCAATGGTAATACAAACCAGCGAAAGCATAGCTGAGAACAAGGCACAATGTGGCTTCAAGGTTGCCCACCGGAAATACATGCAAGGATACATTACCATGCGCGACATGGAACTACAAATACCTCGATATTATGCGACTATTGATCAGAACAGCCTCTCTAAAGAACAGCTACTAAAAAGTTTTAGGATCCTAATGACCAGTCGGAAGAAACAGCCAGCAAACTACCAACTCGGTACCCTCACAATGGAAGTTCACAGCCACTGGTTAGTCCGATCATCAATAAGTTAAGACAGTTAATTCACTGTAACCCTAGTAGAAGAAAGAGAACCGATAAACCATATCCTGAACAAGAAACAAAAGCTGAACCTTTACTCTTGTTCAATAGATATGGAAGGAGTTCGGGCCGGACGATAGGTGAGCCTATCTTTTTGGATTAACCTGTTAAAAAAAGCACACAGTAGCGACAGTATTAGGGAACGAACGTCTAAAAATAAAAATAGCTAATTTTATAATAAATTCAGTAAATAGATTGAAAATGTATTCCATGCCATGATAAATTCGCCTAAAAAAGATTAAAAAAATTATTGAAGGCATAAAAAACAGGGGAAAGCAGCGAGTAATGCTTGATGAGCCTGTGTAGATAGATAGCCTAACAAAAACACGTAGACAAAGAGCGGTAATGAGTGGAAAACAGTTACTTAGGGTAAGAAAAGATAGGATTTATGACGTACTATGATCATCCTGAAAGGACATGACACAGAAAATTAAATCATCCACTGTCACTTTCCGAGAATTCAGAACTCCTCCCACATCAGTACATCATTTCCAGATCGTACAAAAGCGAAAACCATTGTAAACATTTGATAGTCCATAATGAAAAGTGGGAGATATAAAAAAGATATTTAAGTTATTGCTGTTCAGAAGTTAAATTGAATAGACTATATATATATATATATATATATATATATATATATATATATATATATATATATATTTAAGTTACGAAGAACTTTGTAAACTGAATGGGTAATTCAAGGAGGATGAAATTTCGTTGTTGGAATTGTTACCTGATGATCTGGAGTTCTTTAAAAAGGATTTTATGAAATAAATTATTGTAATGGTACCTTAAAGTGGTCTGTTTTTCATTATATATATATATATATATAAACTTCGCTACTCATTCATTCGTCATAAAATATTAAGTATGTTTTTAGTAAATTTCTAGGAATTGAAATGATGGGTTTATTTTGGCAAAAGACATTCATTATTTAAAGAGAAAATGTTAAATCCTAGAAGATAGGGAGAGTTCAAATTTATGAGTTCAAAGATCAGGCGATAAATTAATAGAGTAAATGTAACATAGGAAATCTCAATAGGACATCAACTTACTTTAATAAGTTGTTCGTTCTCCGATTTTACTTTTCTTTCGTTGGAGCTGTTTTCTATGCGGGAAACTTCGATCTAAAAAACAATAAAATCATTTGTATTTTTATTATTACAATTATATTTTCCCAAGAGGGTCATTTAAAAAAAAGCTCTTACAAGTTGCGTGACCTGATGTGACAGTTGGTCAGGATAAAAAGTCCTATATCTTTCAAATTGTTTAATTGGATAGAGCCTAAAAAATGAAGTTATTAAAGTAGCTTGAAGCAGTTTGAATTTTGGAAATGATGTTGACAACGTTGAGATCCGATGTGTACCAAATTGGTCGCACAATCACTGACACATAAACAGAAGAACAATCAAATGTATGTCTGACAAGAGAGAAAGTGCATCATCACCTTTGACATGGTGTCACTATTACGAGCTAGTGTCAAAACAACAATCTAGCCAGGAAGGGAAACAATATTTGGTTTTTAACACGATAATTTCAGGTCCCATACCAGTTTGGAGACTATACCGTTGCTGGTGCGGTTTTCAACGAGCCTACCTCTTGGTGGATGGTGGCACATATGTGCAACCAATGGTATGATGATGTTGAAAACTGACTCTATCCGACGGTGTTGTTGTGTGCCGTGTACCTATGGTAATTTTCCGTGGAAATACATAGAAGACATTGTATTTTATCACCCCTGTTGCGGATGATAATTATTGATTTATGGGGTGCAGACGGTGATGTTGTTGGTGCTAACTCATTTAAGATAATAGCAGATTATTACTAATTATTTCTGGGTTAAGTCAAGTAAATTTAAAATAAAACTAAAGATAAAGATTTATTTATCGATAAATAACAATTTATTTTAATGTTATATACATCGTGTGGTGAATATAATAAGATCCATGAAAAGAAGAATGAGCTTAATTATACTCATTTGAGATATTTTTAAATACTCACTTGAAAGGGAAAAGTTAACATACACACATTTAGCTGTGTTTAATAAAAACGCTTTGAAAGGGGAAAGTTCATATACACACATACACAGGTGTGTTTAATGAAGTTCATAAGAAAAGGAAAGGTACGAACACATTGAGGTGTGTTTAATAAAATGCATAAGAAATGGAAAAGTTCACAGACACATTTTGAAAGGAAAAAAAAAAAAAAAAAGAAAAAAAAGAAGACCCTCAAAAATGCAAGGGAAACGCTGTCAGTGTGCGATTAATAATTTACATTATATTTCAAATATTTTTGAAACCCTACCCATGCCACTCGGAGACGATGCACAAATGACCGATTTAGGTTATTTGACTCCTGACACTTGAGACGGAAAATCACGGTCGACCTGGCACCCACTTTAATGTATGAATTTTAGGCTACATATTTTATATGGAAATAGATAGTATGACACAACAAAAAGTATTCGTAATAACGCTGTCCGAATACAATTTCTCGCGCCAGACTGCGTGAAGCAGACGACCTACTTAGATGATTTAACCCAGAAACAAAATCTCACAGCTGTAAAAAGCAGGAATTTCTTTTCGATTTTGTTGTCTGTCACTCTTTTCTTTCTTTCTTTCTTTCTATCTTTCTTTCTTTCTTTCTTTCTTTCTTTCTTTCGTTTCCTCATTCACTTCTTCTTTCTTTTCTTCATTCATTTCTTCTTTTCTTCATTCATTTCTTCTTTCTTTTCCGCGTTCAGTTCCTTTCTCTTTCTTTTCCTCGTTCATTTCTTCTTTCTTTCTTTTCCTCATTCATTCTTTCTTTTGCTTGTCATTCATTTATTCTTTTCTCGTGCTGCTGATTTTCAATTATAACTCTTTCTCACTGAAACTTCATTTCCACTAATTCAGAAAACTCTTTTCTTCTCAATTTACTTATACAGCTCAGTGACTATTCGCCCTGAATACAGTTTTATAACCAGTGGAAGTGCTGTACAATAATTTCATATTGTTTATTAATAAATTAATTTTATTAATATTATCGATGTAAGAAAAATCAGTGTCGAATTACATTTACGACGCCCACCAAAAAAAAAAAAAGAAGAAAAAAACACTATATATTAATACGCTTTTCCGTGCCTACCAAAGTATCTATATTATGTTTAATGCTATCCATGCATACGTAAATGATTTTCTTAACATAGACATATCTATGCCGTTTAGGGATTACAACTATGATTCATCTCAAAACTTTCGATAAGGTTGTAATGTGTCAAAACCAGTATTTAGCCATCAACAACTATATGTTTTTTTTTTGTTTTTTTTTAAAATCTCTAGTGAAAAAATACGTGAGAGTGAAAACAAGAAGTAAACATTGTAAAGTAGAAGAAAACAAATTTCAAGGAAATGGAGAAATTTTTGAAGATTAAATGTAAGGCAAGATTTTTTTTTATCAAACGCGTAAGAATTTACAGAAAACACACGTGTAAAATTATAAGTAAGATGTTTTTCATTTATCAAAAATTGTATTTCATAATTGCAAATATTCATGTTAAGATTTTTTATGAGATCTGTTTGTATGATTACACTTTTGCACCAAATACAAGGGACATCCGTTGGCAAGTTTGCAATAAGCGTGTCGTGTCCTAGAGACGTTCTACCATGAATTTTTATATGAGTTCAATAAACTGGAGGAAAAGAATTGTGCCACGGAGAAAATTATTCGAAAGAGGATAAGTCTACCGTAGCAAAGAAGCAGAGACACTTTGGGGGTGGTGGTGAAGGAAACAATATCATTTTACCGTACACAAGAGTACGACATTCAGTTTGTCTGTTGTTTAGGGCAAGACAAACTATTTTTGTCTGAATATAGATGCTTTAAATAAAGAAAGAAAAAAAAAAAGAAAAGAACATTTAGCTTAGTCATATATCTTGGTTCAGTTGAAGAAGCAGACAAATGATATTAGGTTTAAAAGCTTTGATTTGCCACCAGCAAATTATGTCAGCAGAAGCAACAGGACTTAACTCGAAATAATTAAATGATAATCTCAATGGCATGAGAATGTTCTATCTTTATGGTTAAAAATTCCCAGTTACTTAGTAATATAACTGAGGGAGACTGAAGAGTATAACACGCAGAATATTTTCGTTATAATAACCAAGAAGATCATATCATTGTATAATACTGACAATATTTATAGTACAGACATTATTTCCGTTTCTCATATTACAAAAGTTGTGATTTTTTTTTATTTACCTGTTTTTTCAGAATCCGAATAGCTTCATATTTTGATTCTAATCTTTGCTGACACGTTTCAAATTCTGTTTTTAGTTCCTCCACTTCCTGAAATGGCGAAATGGTGTGCGAATCAAGAAAAAAAAAATCGTGAATTAAAGAAGACTTAAAGACAAAAGAGCCTATTTTGAAAATGTGCTGGAACAAAAGATGGCTATAAAAAAGAAATGAAATATATGTGCGTTTGTAGGGAGGGTGGGTAGGAAAAACAAAAAAATTAATATAAGAGGAGCATTATTTTTATTATAAGAAAAACATTAAAATGTTATTTAATGATACAATATAAATAAGGCTGAAGTACTCATCTACGCCGAATAAGAAATGAAGACTTGCATCTCAACTAATTACAATGACAATAAAACAACCCCCCTCCATAATTCCGTCAGAAGAAAGTTATGCGAAATTATAAAAAATTAATTGTTACTTTGTAGTAATACTAGTTGTGTTAAAGTTGTTTTGCTTTTAAGGATGTAAATATAGAACTACTGGTTTTAAATCTGCAATTGAAGGTTTTAAGAAAAAATGTTTTTGAAGAATATAACACAGCTTGCAATATTTTATCTATTAAAATTAAATAAAAGTGCATTTTTTTATAAAAAAGTAAAAAAAAAAACACATGGCGAACATGTAAGATGTGATTGTGATAGGAAGGTTTTGGTGTTTTTAAGTAACACATCCCTATTTTTGAATGGAGGCAATTAAATTCAATGTTGAGTGAAGATCTGGAGGCCTCTGATTACGAAATATGAAATTTCGTAACAACGCTTGCCCGGTCCCATTAACTTTTGGTGGTAAATCGGATCCCCTGTATATTTATTTTTGCATCGATGGGCCTGCAATCCGACAGAACGATTTTTTTACTCATTTAAAATGCTCTCGTTTTGTTTTCTGTCTGTTGGGATCCCTTGCTGAGACTTTGTGCTTCAGAAAGTCTTTTCGACATCTGTTTAAAAAAAATTCTCACAGCAACCTCTATTTTTCCTTTTGCTTTCAATCAGAAAGAGCAATATCCGAATCGTTCCAGTGTCACCATTGAATGCCTGGGTAGAAGTCTGTCTAAGGCCCTCGTTTCCAGGTAAGGTTCACATTTCTAAATGTATAAAAGCTACCCATTCAACCGTACCCGCTTAAAAGTCTTTCTTTCTACAATTTAAAAAGCCTTTCTCAGTGCTAAGAAATCTTTCAACTTGGTTTGCAAGAAGAAAGAAAACAAAACAACTCATGAAGAAAAAAGTTAGAACTCTCTTATTTAACATTCTTTTTTATGTAACTCTCGAAGCAGAAAGTCTTTGCTAATTGCATGATATAGTGTTTGACAATTGTAAAAAAAATCTTTGTTTTTGTAATAATTTGTAATTAATTTTTGACTTTCACCCACTTTTGTAAAAATGTCTATTCTTTAATGCTTATGCATAATGCTAATTTTGAACAAGGATTTTTGCAAAAATTAACTATTCTTATTTATTTATTAAATAAAATTGCCTTGATTTTAAAGTCTTCGTATCCCGATCAATTACATTTTGTACTCTCGAGAGCTCTCCTATGTTTTTTTCTTGCTATCACGTCAATTTATTTAAAAAAAATAAATTCCTTTAAAACTGATCAAATGATTACACAATTTCTTCATCGAAAGGTGAAATAAATGAAATGAATAAATTAGAAATGAATATTTTAAAATCTTCATTACCAATTAAAAATTCATTATTTCATTCATTATATATGTGAATCAACCTTCATTTTTAGTAACGTTGATTTTGACGGTAACAAAAAAATCATTTTTCTTGTGCCTGTTTTCGTATGCAGATGAATGAGTTTTAAATTAATAAATGTAAACAGAAATTCATAAAAAAGGGTGTTGTTTTACCTGTATCGTAAGAATTAGTTTCTTCTCAATATCTTCTTGTTTTGAATGTTTTAAAATGCGCTTCTTCTCTTGATCTGAAACAGCATAAAAAATTCTTGATGAAAAAGAAACGATCGTTCGTATAAAGAAATATTCAAGAAATAAATGAACGTACCCTGAGACATTATACCGCTTCATTTTCTAACTGGCAAATTGATTATTTTAACATAAATAAATCAATAGCGACATATAAATAAATTCAAAGACGAGTAGATATCTATCAATAGACAGAATCTGTGAATCAGTTCCATTAGAATTATTTTGATACCTTTAACATGATTATTGAGTAGCTGGAAAAAATGAAGAACAATGTTGGGCTGCAGATCGATTAAGAAAAATTCACGTGACCTAACCTGACCGGAAATGGAAATCAGTACTATAGAAATGGAATATAGTAAACTGAAAATCTATATCGTTCGGTTATTACAAGCGTACTGTATATACATGTGTGTGTGTATGTGTGTGTGTATGTGTGTATGCGTTGTGTGTGTGTCTGTGTTATAAGTTATAAAAGAAAATAATGGAACACCAAATATATCTAGAGACAATTGATAAAAAGTTGTGAAACTCTTGATTAACAAAACTGCGCTATTCTGATAAATTTCAGCTTTTATTATTGCTTTGTATTTTTATATAATATTACTTTTTAGTATTGTAAAACCCACAAAATGCAAATCATGGATTCTCTCTCTCTCTCTCTCTCTCTCTCTCACACACACACACACACACACACACACACACACACACACAAAGCACGTGCGTAAACATATCTGCATTTGTTTGCAAACTCCTGCGATTGAAATATGAAACTTATGATATATATATATATCTTACTTATTATAAAACGCAGATTGTGTGTGTGTGTGTGTGTGTGTCTGTCTGTAACGTTTATATGTTGGATCGAATTTCCTATATTTTTTAGCCGATTTCAAAAAAACTTCACAGGACTACATAAAATTATCTTGTGGTGGTTCTAACGGGGCCGAAAATGGGAAAAACACAGTTGTTTTTTTAATAAAATCAATTTGAAAACACGATTAAGACACATCGTGAGAATGAAAGGGGGACAACTCACCCACGAAAATGTAAACAAAAGAGCATAGCATGATGAAAAAGACGCCGAACTTGACGAAAACAAAATTTTATCATCTAATGTTCATATTATTATTAAAGAGGAAAGATCAAAGTATTTGGGGGGTATGTTTTTACATTTTTTAATCGTTCCTTGCACGTCTGAAATTTTCGTTAAAAATATTGTTTTTTTTTTGGTCAAAAAAACGGACAGATATTCATTTTCAATCATTTTTTTTCGATTTGATAAAAAAGATTAAAATCTTACTTTGATATTCTTTTAAAAATCAATTATCATTTTTTCAAAACTGATTTTAATAAAAACAGAAATTATACTGTTTATTTAAAATATTTTGAACCAAGCTTAACTTAGCTTCTGCGCCGAAAAAATGTAATTTGAAAATAAAACAAAGCAGGTCATAACCTTTCGCGTCGCTTGACGATTGACGAAAGGCACATTAATGACGTTTAGGGGAGGAGAATTCTTTCTACGGATGGAAGGAAGTGAAATCATTTAAGTGAACAAATTATTTACCTTGTTACTTTTAAGGAAAATTTTCAGCGCTCTAATTTTTTATTTTTTATTTATTTTTTTTTTTTTGTACTTAGCTTTCATTTTTACGTTTACGATGCTTTATGGAAAATATAAAGAAATTAAAAAAATAAGACTGTTAATAGTGAGATTAAATTTCATAAGAAAGGTATCTAATAGGTACCTTTCTTATGAAATTTTATCAGAAGTGTACCTAAAATACTATAATTTTATGTACATTTACTACATTTTACAGTGTTATTTGTATTTCCATTCATTTTATTATTAATTTTGATATTTCATTTATGCGAAAATGTCATAACTGAGATTAATATAAAAATAAGATCATATAAATTAAAGTTTAGCAGTAGTTAAATTTCATAAGATGATACTGTTACTTGTAGGTACCCTTCTCAGTTGAAATTGAAAAACTCAAATTAACTTCTCCATACGTGTTTCACAAAAGTAAAGGGCTTAACAGCGGAGAACAATGCTGAACTCAAATAATGCAACTAAATTGTATTCTGGTTGGTCTTCCGTACTTGATAATTACTGTCCGACTATAAACACAAAATTACATTTCTTAATTACCATGGCTAATCTGATTGGTCCAAATTATACAATTTTCAAAGCGCTAGACAATGACAATCTCACACGGACATTTTGAAAGGTTGATGTTGCTTTTTAACTAATGTTAAAATATTTTTTAAAATTCAATTTAAACATTTTTTAAAAAATCTTTTTTAAAATTAAAGAAATAAGAAATAATTGTATTAAAAATTCAATTTTCATTGAAAAAATCTTTTGCTTTCAGAAAATATTGTCCATATTCATAAAAACAAATTACAACAAATAAAAGCATTTGAAACTAAATAATATATTTGTTTTATTGAGTTTTGTATGTTACAATTCACAGCTGATTTTCAGATACGTTGGCCAAAAAAAAAAAAAAAAAAAAACATGATTTGCATTCTTCAAAGTCTTGTGCTTTTTAACTATTGTAATCACTAAAACCGATTGTCTTGAATTTCTAGAATTTTTCATAAAATTAGTTATGGGGGTGTTAATAAATATAAAAAAAAAATATTTCTGCCATGACTTTAATAAAAAAAAACAACATATTTATAATAATTTCGATCATCTGTGAATAGTTTCTGAAAGTTTCATTAACATCTGACAATTATTTTTATATTTGCAAGATTTTCCAAATTAATGTGTGTAAATACAAAAAAAAACGCGCTAAAAATTATCTATGTTATTTACTACCCCTTGTTGCGACAAAGAGAAACAAGGTTTTTTAAATCAAAATTTAGAATATTCTAAAAGATGGAAAAATTTTAAAAAAATGATTAAAAAAAATTTAGTCTATCCTCTTCATAAAAAATAAGCATTTTGACGATAAAATTTTGTTTTCATAAACTTTGGCATCTTTTTTTCATCAGACTATGCTCTATGTTTTAGCGATTCCGTGGAGTGACTTAGGTTAAAAACCCAGGTTGTTTATGTGTGTGTGTGTGTGTGTTCCTTTATATATGGGATCGGATTTCTTACATTTTTCAGCCGATAAAACAAACATCCACTTTTTTTCGGCAGGTAGTATTTCTTATTGTCTTGCACACTTTTTTCTTTATTTACATTCAGAATGCTTTAAAAATTCCATTTACAAGACAATTGTTTATAATAAAATTCTATTCACCAATCGATAGACTCATAACGATTGTAAACAATGTTTTTGTTTGAGTTTGGGTTTGACCAATTCGTAAAAAAAAAAAAAAAAAAAAAACTAATTAAGACATGCGTGTCCGTCAACCTTAAACAATAATCTTTGTCAATTTTATTTTTCAGTCTTTATGATGGTCGATACTTGATCTATCTCTTACTGTTACATCCCCGGGCAACGCCGGGCTCTACTGTAATATATATATATATATATATATATATATATATATATAACAGCAATGTGCACATCGGTAACAATTCATAGCGTTCATTAGCACGTGAATAGTTATCCATTATGGAATTGTTTCTTTTATGTTTGAATGTCATAACTGTCAGCCACAGCATTTAAACGCAAAAGAAAAAAAAAACAATCAGTAATAGAGAGAGCTACACATAGTTTTTGCCTTACCAGTTGCACCCCTGATGATGATCTCAGAAAGAGATGGAAATTACTTGAGAAATAAAAGTAATTCTCATTGTTACAGTGCATTTCTTGTCTTATTTAATAGTAATATTCGGAAAAATATTCGTGAATATGAAAGGATTATGATCAAAATAAGCAGACATAATGTTTGTAATTTATTCAATCAGACATGCCTGAAAGATAATTTGCTGCTTAAACACACACACACACACAACCTGTTTCTAGCTAACTTTTTGTAATCGGCTTCTTGAAAAAGAGTGCTTTGTGCTTTTTCAGTGATGCATGGATTATCGTACTTCGACCAAAATGTTACTTCAAATTAGAATTTTATGTTGATTGATTGGTTGTCTATGTTGCATAGTTAAAAACAGTAAAACAGTGTTCTTTATTTATTACTTTGTATTTAAATTTTTGCACTTACTTATTTCTGACAATTTAAGGCTACACAACTGAATATCATACAGCTTATCAAAGAAAATATCTAAGAATGCCAACATTTTAGCAGCTTTAACATATAACAACAGCTGTATAATTCTTTTTTATTGATAAATGATACGCTTCAATGAATAATCTATACATTAATTTTTAATTAAAATACAATTACATTTGTAAAACAATAAGCCATTCATATAATAAATTTCTCCGTGTTTGTATTAAGGTCAAAGCAACCAATAGGAAAAATAGTTCATTGATTGAAGTCATTTATTTGGAGCAAGGTTTGCTGACTTAGAAATTAACTATTTACTGATATGCTGTTCAATGTTTCTTATTGTTAAGACCAGCGGTAACAGATGTAAATACGTTATTTACAAGGCTTTCATGTTTTGCTCTTACAATAATGAATCATAAAATATTGTTTGGAATTTGAACCTTGAGTTCTAATAGTGAAGTCGTTTCAATTTATGAACAATTTATGAACAATTTATTTCACCATCTAATCAAGGGGAATTGACAGATAAAGAGTTCGAGAACTGTCAGATTAATAAATTCAAGAAACGTTATATTTAGTATATCTAAATATTTAATTTTCTACTCTGATATTTGTTCGTTTGGCTTAAACTATTTTTATTTAGGAAATCTTGTTTTCTCAAACTTTTATCTTTCCAATCTCTTTTCTGATATTTCTTCTATGGAAACAGCTGGCAGTTAATCATGAAATTTGAATCATTCAAAACTTTTATTAACTATTTGTGTGAGTGGATTACATAAGTCATTGATGCTGACTCGTATCCTCACTAAGAACTCAAAAGAAATTTGATATTTACCTATTCATATCTATCTATCTATCTATCTATCTATCTATCTATCTAGTGCAATGTTAAATAAATACCATGCTTAGTGCACTGTGGTTCTGGGTCCACTTTTGTGTTAGAGCTGCGTCGAAACCGCTGTGAGTTTTGAATCAACTGCAAAATACTTCTCGGATGAAAACTCTCCTGTTGATAGTTGGATGTTTCCTGAGTTGACGCATCAGGACATGGTGCACATCCACCGCTCTTGGGGTAAGAAGATTCAATTCCCAATAACTGCGCTAAAGCATCAGCTGTGATATCTGCAAGCGAATAGAGAAAATTTTTAAAATGCATAAGACAGTGGTCCAGAATAATTAGGCAAGCCGTCTAAAATGGATGTTTTGTCTCACAAGCTATTTTTAAAAATTTTATTACAGTTAAAACATTATTCATTTTTACTTGTATTTCTTTAACTTTATTGTAGAAACTTTTTGCATTTATCTTATCCAAGCTCAGTGGAAGGGGAGAGATGAGGGAATGCAACTGTAATCTTGTGGCGAAAATATCTTTCATTATATTATTCACACAAGATTTATTGAAATGAGTTCCAGTCGAAATCGTCAGATTGAAGGGAAGTCAATTTATTGTATATGTGTTCCAAGAGAGATATAAAAATGCAAAAAATAGTCAAAGTAATAATTTTTCTTCTTCCTTCTTTACGTCCGTTCTTTGTCTTTTGAAGCGGACTGGATGTGTTAACGAAACTGCTAATAAGAGTCCTAAATCTTTTTTCCAAACGTTACTTCTACAAGGAGAAATACTTGTAGGCAACAATATAGCGTTTTTTGTTGCAATTCTTTTCACACAAATGATTGCCACCGCGAGACTAAACGTTATCATTTCTTTCTTTCTTCGCTGAGTTTCGTTACAAATGCTAATAGTTGCCATTATAGCTTTTCTACCTTCCCTTGCCTCAAACAGTCGGACTTGAAATCTCGACATAATTTTAGTTGTTTTTTCATCGTAACTATAAAGATTTATGTGATAAAAATACGTCTCTTTGTGTTTTTCCAGTACGTAAAGCGAAGACATTTTCAACCAATGAGGTGTTCTTAGTCTGATTATAGCAAAACTATATCTGATTCAGAGTAATAAAAAGAATGTTCTAGAAAAAATGGTTTGAGAAAAGAACGCCTTCTTAAGATTATTTTCAACCAAACAGAAGGAGGGAATTTAAAACTTGATACAATTCTAAAAGTAGATTAGTGAGCCGATCGACACAGATATAAGGTTTATTTGCTATTCATCACAACTCATTTCAGCATAAGTAATCAGGATAGATGAGATGAGTAAGCAATGAATTGATAAAAGGGGATACTGGATTTCGAGATAGACCGTAAACAACTCAAAGACAGCATACAAAAACGTAAAACAATTTTGAACATGTTTGTCTGAAACAAAAACACGCAACTGAACCAATAATACCATGTTAACTCACTCGTTTCATTTATAATTCTACAACGCAGTACCAGCTTCTGCAAGTTTTTCCACAAACAATAATTACTGGGCAACTCCTGTTCAACAACAGACTCTCCCGCTATGCTAACCAATCAAACCCATAACCGCTCAACAAAATTTGTCAACACTTCCGCTGACACATTATACTCTCTACCTAGGATTTTTATAAATCCACCTACTACAGTAAATCCCCGTTTTCTTATGAACAATTCTTTCTACCTCGCTTGATTTCTTTTAGGCGTTTAAAATAATATTTTGAGCAAGCTTCTACACTTATCTTCTTTTTCGCATAAATTATTGTAAATAAATATTTTTCATACTGAATAAGTCCTTTTTATTTTCGTGCCTAAAGTATATTTTTCGTCTATAGGAAAATCCCCATACAACTCAAACCATCATTCTACGCACGTTAGTAATCAGCTCAAATCGAAAAAAAAAAATAAGCTCTACTGTAGAAGCCTATTTGGGTGAGCTGAGGTTAGGTGAAGTAGTGCTCTTGACTTATGAATAGAGACAACACTTTTCAATGTTGGAGAGAAGATATGTAATACATTTTAAAACTTTGTTGCTATATTGTCGCTTTTAGAAAGTAAAGTTTTCATTTTTGTTCTGATTTCTCCCAAGCTGTCTTTATTTTTCTTGTTATTAATTATTGGAATGGTATCTGTTTCAAAGGCCGCTCAACAATCATTTGGCAACCCAATATGTCGAACTAATTTCTTCGTTTTCGTTATTGCTAACATAAACTTTTCTACTCATATTTCTTTCATTAATTACAGTTGCTTTTCTTCGCGACATTAAAGTTGAGTAAATTAAGCCGAAGAATATAATATGTAATAATTAAAACAGTCCATCTAACAAAATCTAGAAAAGAATCCAATCATCGATAAATGGTACTTTAGAAAAAGTTTAAATCATCAATTGATAATATCTACTGATCTCTAATGTAACATCAGTTGATGGTGTCCGTCATTTAAAGGTTAAAATTCTACTTGCGTGTACATCTCAGAATAGACCAAAACATTTAATAACATGCTTTTGAGAATTATTTGTAAAAGAAAAGGTAAAGATCATCAGGAAATTATTTTTAAGGTTATCTTTCTTACACAATGTTAATTATCATAATATCAAAGAAGTTCTTGATTATCATCAATTTCATCCGAAATGAAATCGTTAATTACTGAACTATCAAGGATGAACTGTAAAGGTGAATGTCTTATCAATTTTACAATATTCATTATTACATTTTAAAATGTGAGTTCGCTAGAATTTGATATTTTGAAAGGTAATGATAAAGAGCAAGAAAATAGATTATCTGTCACGACTTAGACATTGTCAAATAATTATCAAAGCTATTTTTTGTATTCATTATACATGATTGTTCGATGTGAAATATAGCAGACATTTCTTTAATACTGTGATAATTGCCCAAATCTTTTATTTAATTATATTTTATTCATGATAGGGACCATATTTTTTTAGATAACAATATTGTGTTATATAATATTGATTATACAAAAATTCGTTGAAGTATTTCATATTTTAATAAAACCATTGACTCATTAATATTGAGCTTTTAATGTTATAATTTTTATTCCACAATGTTGATTTTGTTGGTGTCACTTGCAAGAGAAAAAATATATGACAATCGTAAACATGCTGTAATCCAGAATAGACCAAAAAATTTAATAACATGCTTTTGTGAATTATTTGTAAAAGAAAAGGTAAAGATCATCAGGAAATTCTTTTTAAGGTTATCTTTCTTACACAATGTTCCAAATATAGATTTTAATAATTTTCTGCTTTTTTGTTATTCAGTTCCTGTGACTTTTGAATTTTGTAAAATTCAAATAAACATGCGAGTTATTATTATATTCAGTTCCGAAGTCAGAAACTCTCCGAAAATTAAGAATTAATTACAAAGGAACTGACATTAGATTTAAAACTTTAAAAAATCACTAAGTAGTTTTTATAGAAATATTTTAGTACGAAGGAAAAGCATGTGATTTAGGAACTAGATTATCAAGATTCTGTAAATCCCGGAACATGTAATAATCAAATGGCGTGAGATCTGATTTTTTCCAGCCAAAGGAATCAATCTTTTCAGATATGATCTTTGATGTATGAGGTTGTGACTTATCAGGATGAAACACTATAACTTTGCGATTGATCACACTAATTCCCTTTTCCTTCAAAGTAAGAATTTAACGCCCTAACTGATGACAATCTTCACAATGAATGATAACAGCTCAAGCGTCAAAACTAGGAAGGAGCTTCCTTTTCGGTTGTGTTCATCCCTGCTAAGAAATTGCTTGCGTCGATTTATACACTTTCCCCCCAATCACTTACTAATCTGTCCAACATTGAGATACATTCACAAGAGTCCACAAGATGTAATACAGATGTCATCTCTTGTATAACAGTTGGTATCTGTTAAATTATAATAATCTATTCTCAAATCTCTCAAGTTGTCACAGTTGACGGTTAACTGTTAAATGGCTCGAAGTCAGGTTTTTGCGTTAATTATTTAAACGTAATATCATTATTTCTATCGAGTTCAAATAAAAACAGGACAATGTTAAATTCAAAAGGCTAACATAATGTTTTTCTCTTTAGCTGAAGTTACGAATATTTTGACTGGTTTCTGCTGAATTATGAATTCTTGAACTTATAGATATTTAAACATGTGATGTGCTTAATTCATCTTTAGGAGAGTCAAATTAGTAACTAAATCCAACAACGTAACTTAATTTTACAATGACTCATTAATATATATTCAGTACCTCAAGGATTTGCTAAAAATTAGCATACCATCATGAAAACTTAATCAAAACAAAGTTTTATCGTCAAAATCTTTGTTATTATTAAGACGAAAGGCCATTTTTTTTATTATTAAATTATATTTTTTAATCCTTTTTAGAACCTTAGAAATTTTGATTAAAAATTTTGTTTTTCTTGCATCAACTCCAGGGCCATAAATTAGTCTTGGAAATTTTAGCGTCTTTTTGTGGTGAAAACACATTGATTTAGAAATTCTTACGAAAATCAGATAATTGCTTGATTTTAATGAAACTTTCGAGACTTATTCACAAATAAATTAAATTATTTTAGAAACGTTTCTTTTCTAGAAAATCTAGATAGAAATATTTTTTACATCTAATACCCTCCCCCATACACACACAATTCATTTTTGTAGAGCTTAATGTTTACATTAGTTATAAGCACAAGTCCTTGGAGAATTTAAATCATGATGTTTTTTGTCAAACAGGACCCTCAGTTACAGAAAATATGCTCTGAATACGTTATTTAATTTGAAAAGTTCTTAATTGTTTTTATGAACAAGATATATTATGGTCACTATTCCATTAAGAAATTTTTTTCGATGAATGATAAATTTTTATTTAAATTTTAATTATAATAATTTATAAAGTTTTAAATCTTTAAAAATTCTCTATTAATTTGTAGCAGTTAGGTGATATTATTATTAAGTAAAGATTATATTTACTAATCATAAATGGAAAAGCTTACTACAATTTAGTGCACCTCACCGGTATTTTAAAAAGAATTTTGAATTTTTTTTTTGTGTGTGTGTATAAATATGTCAATTTTTGTAAAGATCGATATCAATACACGACATTATAAGAAAATAAGAGCGGCAACTTTAAAATTTATTGGTAATTTTCTAACATTTACATTATTCGGACTATTGCCCTCATCTTTGTCGACATATTTATTACAGAGACAAAGATGGGGGGGCAATAGTCCGAATAATGTAAATAGTGTACATAATACCACATCTCAGAAATATAGACAGATTCCTAACATTTCTTCAACATGCGTCTTCGTAAGTTAGAGTATAAAGTCAAAGTACCTAAAATTCAATAAAATATTGGAATATATTGAATATTTTCCTAAATTTTAAAGATTACTGGGTAGTTAAAAAATATATAAAATAAAAAAGGTGTTCACGATGTATTCGTCAAGTAATTTTACAGTTGAATACCCTTTACTTAACAATGCCAAACATTAAGGTATCGATAAAATTTATCAACTCACACCTCTGTGCTAAAAATACTTTTCTGCGATAAATAAGTAATATTTGTTTTCAGATTAATTAAACTTTAAATCAGTTAATGTTCATCAAACAAAGTTTCGGAAAGGTATATTTCTAATTTTGAAGAATTTTTTAATAATGCGAATTATGTTGTGCTGATAGATTTGTCAATATGGCCGATTTCTAGCGATTTAAAACAATTTCATTCCAATCATTCCATTTAAATTCAGTTCAAAATACGGCAAAGTATTTTGCTTATTGGAAATATTAAATTTTATCTATTAGCTCGGAATTAAAACTAAAATAAAAGTTTTAAGAAAGAGTTTTCATTTTTTTAAAATGCATTTTAAAACTTAGGTATCATTTTCATTTGGAGATGCTGAGTATATACCTGGCAGTTCCAATAGATCCTTGTGCCGTAATCTGCCGCTCACAGTGCACTGGTGCGAGTCTAAAATGTGTGCTTGTACTCGACAAGACTCAATTTGAGAACAAATCAAGTTTCTACTCGAGTTAATAACGAAATTTAATTAAAATTAGAATTTAATTAAAAGAAACTTTGTTAATTAAAAATGGAATTTCAGCAGATTAATGCCCAGAATTTTTTCTTAAAACTCGTTACCTTTTCAGAATAACATTCATAAATTTCATTCAAAACATATTTTAATTCTCGGTTTTATATTTGTAAATTTTACTGACTTTTAAGTTTAATAATAATAATAATAATAATGATAATTGATTATGTACAAGTTTCGTTAAAGACAATTGACAAGGTACTTTTCTTTTCTGATATAAATTATGTCGAAATTCTCCAAATATTCTGTATGTCTGGGCGCTTTCGGCTATACTTTTAGCCATTATCAAGGATGATTTATTTTACTTTTAACTGAATGTATGGAATTTTTTATGTATGTATCTAGAGTTATAGGAATGCTTTATTTTCCAAACACAGTCAGCACATTGTGGCCGTGTTCATGTTGATGTTATTGACCGTTGGCCATTTCTTTCTTGTTTCACAAAATTATATATGCAGTAGCGGCCATAATATAAGGAACGGAAACAACAAAGACATAAATATGTGTATTACTTAAAAAGTAATGCATGATTAGCAATGAAATTTTTACCGAATAAAGATTAGGGTGTAATGCATAAATATTATACAAAGTTACAAAAATTTACATAATGTTTTTTTTTTTTTTTAAATAAAGATTAAATAAGCTACTGGGCAAAAGTTAAGGAAAGATCTTGTTAATACTTGATTGTGAAGAAAATATCAAAAAAATTTAATATTTCGTAAACATTCCCTTATTTTCAATGATTTCTCTGCATCGTCGACCAAATGATCTAATTAATTTCTTGTAAAAATCAGCAGTAATTCCCTCCCATTCGTCTTTCAATAACTCCCATAGGTGATCCTGGTTTTTCGGGTTTCTTTTCTGAGCCCTTTCTTCAATTACCTTCCAAACATTTTCTATTGGATTCAGATCGGGGTCCTGGGCTGGCCACTTCATTAGGGCGATTCCTTCTTCTTCAAATAAAGCCATAACCTTCTGAGCTTTGTGGCAAGGTGCATTGTCCTGCATGAAAATAGGAGATTCATAAAGATTATGGTGTATTCTTGGTACCACATGCTGCTGAAGAAGCCTTTTGTAAATCTCAGCATTGATATTGCCATGTACGCGGATGATAGGGCCAACTCCTGCAGATTAAATCATTCCCCACACCATCACCCTGCCGCCACCAAACTTAACGGTTTTCTTGACACATTGAGAAGACAGTCTTTCACCTGTTCTACGGCGTACCTAAGTTTTGCCCTCAGAACCAAATATAGTAAACTTGGACTCGTCACTGAAATGAACTGTAACCCATTGTGCGTCAGTCCAAACAACATGTTCTCTCGCATACTTCAGGCGTTCCCTTTGGTTTCGCTTTGAAATGAGAGGCTTCGAAGCTGGAATACGGGCATGCAATCCTGCATTTTTAAACCTGCGAGCAACCGTTTTCCTTGAGATCTTATTATCTGTCTCTTCATTGATGTAGCAGTTTCAAAACGGTTTTTTGTAGATATTTTAACAATTCTTCGATCTTCTATTTGCGATGTTTTTGGAAGTCTGCTGGTTTTTGATTTTGCATCTAACGTTTTATCGGTTTTATACCTGCTAATTACACGATGAACGACACTTTTAGACCTATGAACAACATCAGAAATTTCTGAAATTGACTTTTTTCTTGATAGCGATAATGAGTTTTTTTTTCTTCAAAAGAGAGCGTTTTGCGTGTAGAATTTGCTATATTGCTTAAAAATAAAGTCCTAATGAAAAATGAACTTTTACTTATTGTTGAAAAGCTCCATAGAGTTTTTTAACAATGTAAATTAAAAGTTTATGCAAATTATTAACATCGTTCCTTAACTTTTGTCCAGTAGCTTATTTCCTTTGTTCCATTTAATCTTTATTTTTTAAAAAAATCTATTATGTAAATTTTTGTAACTTTGTATAATATTTATGCATTACACCCTAATCTTTATTCGGTAAAATTTCATTGCTAATCATGCATTACTTTTTAAGTAATACACATATTTATGTCTTTGTTCTTTCCGTTCTTATATTATGGCCGCTACTATATATATATATATATATATATATATATATATATATATATATATATATATATATATATGCCCCCAGTTCAACGTTTCAACCACTGAACTGTGCAGCTCTCTCCTTATGCAGTGGTTTTGGGGCTCTCACCAGTTAGGAGTTCAACCGATAGACCATAACTACGCCGAGTTTCAACTGGCTTGCAGGCTAAATCTGTATACAGGATTGAACTACTGACAGTATATCCATAGCGTTGATGGCACGAAAGGCTCCCTAAACTGAAGTATGTCCCGGGTGAATGGGTTCTCCTGATAGAATCATCGGTCAAGTGTCCGGGACCAAAGCGAACCTTGAAAACGGAGGACATCTGCTGTGGTCTGACCTGATGGTGTATAGGCTCCGCCAGGTCTACTTTGTCTAAGACGCTTTATTCATGAATGGATACCTATCGAAACATGTTTAAAATAACAGCAACAATAACAACAAGAAGCTTACCTTCATCGGATGTGACTTGATTGTAGGCACAGCAAGGTGGTGGGACTTGTGTGTACTGACAATAGTGACAACTGGTCGGACATGTCGGGTAGGAAGTTGAACTGCTACACGAAGAGTTTCTTTTGGAGCGTCGTTTAAAGCCTGATACTCCGGATTCAACGGAATTGATCACATCGCAGCCCGTGATCTCGGGACGTAGTCCTCCTGGTTTTAATCCAAGGCCTAGGCCTAAATCTCCTGAAACAATATCTTCCGTAGAGTCCAGTAAATTTCGCTCGTGTTTCGGTATGGACGACATTACTGGATTAGTTGTGGTCAATAGAGGTACCAAGAAAGGAGGATCAGTTTGATGAACTAATTCTTGAAGAAAAAAATGATTACTATTGTGAGCTGAAGATGGAAGGAAAGCTGATTGACTAATAAAGGATATAAAATTAAAGTGGGGATGAAAGAGTAAATATTATAGAATGAAATAGAGGTTAGCTTTTGGTTAAATTAAGTCAGAAAAAAACAAACTTTGGAACTCGTTCTCTCGAGATAAACTGAGAAGATCTTTGGGTGGATGTTGGAGAAAGGTAAACGAGAAGCAAAAACGAGAATAAATAACATTTGTGTATGTGTGTGCGCGCGCGTGCGTGCGTGCGTGTGTGTGTGTGTGTGTGTGTGTGTGAGAGAGTGAGAAAGAGAGAAATAAAGAAAGTAAGAGAAGCTTTGTTTGAGATTGCGCATTTATGTGTGTGAAAACACGTGTCTCTGGTCATTCAATATGGAACTAAAAATTTTCGTATTTTATATAATACAAGTTTAAAAGCCACACACTGTGCGATCTTTTAAACTAGCTTCTGTGGAGGGCTAATTGGGTCTCCGGCCCAAAACTGAAAGGACCTCTGGTCCAGCTTAGAAAACAAATGATAATGAAAGATTTATTGATATCCTGCTATTTACATCACAGAGAATTTCACTTTCATCTGCAGCTCTCGACCTTTTCTTCCTTGCAGCATCTGCTTGTCTCCTTGCTTGCACCTCCTTTGATTTTTCAGATGCTTCTATGGTTTGCAGCATCTTTTTTTTCTCCTAGCATGTGCTTCCTTTACTGTTTCTTCTGCTCTTCTTTCCCTTTGCATTCGAGCTCTGGTCTTTGGATTTTTCCATGATATTTTGAAGAAATATGAATTTCTCAAAACTTCACTTCAACACTGATTCGGGCCAAAAGACCGATTGGGGCCGAAAGTCAATTTGGGTTGAAATTCTAATTCAGGCCGAAAATTGAATTCTTCAAATTACCACCTCTGTGAAACTTCAATTGAGTTGAATTCTTTAAATCACAACATAGAACTGATTTCCTAAATTCACAAAGTTTTGGAGATATTGTAAGCTGAATTTAAAACAATTTTTTTTAATTCACAAAATGTTTGTGTTACTTTAAACATAACATATATTAAAAACTTTTTCATGGTTATTTTAAAATAAACATCCAATGCTGGATGTTCATCATGATTCCAAAAAGGTATAACATGTCACTGTAGAGCAAGTGTGGCCTGAGTTAGAAGGGTTTCAAACATACAGACGGACAAACAGAATTTGCCGTTTATTTATATAGATTTCATTTGTTTTCTCTCAATATGGGTATCTGTATGGGTATCTGTATGGGTATCTGTATGGGTATCTTTTCAGGCATTTATGATTGTCTATATATGGGCTTCATAAATTGTTAAAAGGATGCTTAATCAACAAAGAAATTGAAGAACAAACAAGAAAATCATTCCAGCAAAGTTTTTGATTATCATTAATGTACATTAGGCAATACCTCTCTCGACAAAATGGTAGACACATTTTATGACTATAATTTATAAATTGCATTCATTTGGCCTTAGCGGAATAAATGGGGGGGGGGCGAAAATTATGAAATCTGGGAACACGTAGAAAAATTATATAGTTGTACAGAATAGATTTAGAATTACCGCATTTTTTTTTATCTAAGATTAATTTTTATAGAATTTTCTTAGAAATTAGGGATTTTTTACGTTCATTTGTTTTAAAATCGAAGTTTAAATTCATTTGTTCAGGTAAAATTTTACGTGTAAATAAACTTTATTTTATTGGGAGAGAAATTAATGACTTGATAAAAGTTTCTGCTCTTTGATAATCAATTTAGAGAAATTAGGAGATTGCTTCTCTTATTAGATAAATTATTATTATTAGACTAAAACAAATGAATATGAAAGTAAGCATTTTGAAATTCATTTTTCTTAATTCTTATTTGATTTGTTTCTTTATTACGTAGACAATTCCAAAAGCGACTGCATGAAAATTGGATTCAACAGTTAATGAAGCTATTTTCAATATTTTTGTTCGTTTTTATTTTATTTTATTTATTTAATTTTTTTTTTTACTATCAACCGTTGTAGGTATTTTTCATTTATTTTTCTCTTTAATCCGAGTGTCTCTTCACTGGGATTATTGTATGGAAATGTATGCATACCAAAGTACAGACACCATGACTAAATATATTTATATTTGGACCATCTTTGACTTCCGTGTTAGAGGAGAAAAACGTGACACAATCGAATAAACTCTAGAAACACTTCAGAACAATTCTAAAAGCAACAATTTATTATCTTTTGAATATCTATGTACGTATACATGTATATATTTATGTCTGTATGTGTGTATGTAGTTATGTAGGTATGGATGCACATATGTATGTAGGTATGGGTGTACATATGTATGTAGGTATGGATGTACGTACGTACGTATGTAGGTAGATAGGTAAGTGTAATAATAACTGTAAGAGACTGAAAAGTTTAAAATTAAAATTGAAGAGAGAGAGAGAGAGAGAATAAACTTGAATTAAATTTAAAAGAAGAAAACAAAAATTAAAAACTGAGTATTTTTAATTATTTTTTGATGACAGAAGATTTAAAGTTAAATAATTTTATTTGAAATTTTGATTTAAAAAAAAGGTGTCAATTGGGGGATTTATCTGATTTGTATTCACCCCCAGAATATTAAATACAGAGTGGGACACGCCCATATATGAAGAACGATTACACGTGGTATTTATTTATGATAATCATATATTACGGATTTTAAAGGACGGAAACCCAGATAACTCGTGCGATATGAATAAGTGGTTCACAATAGTCATATCAGATCAGGGACCAGAAGAAAAAAAAACATACTACAGAATTACTTTGTATTTTGTCATCACACATTCACCTGAAAAAGTTATTCAATGTATGCTTCATGAACAGTACTGATTTTATAAGAAATTTACTTGGATACCCCAAATGACCGATCTGATCTTGGGAAAATCAAAAATTAATTAGTTAACAAGTAAAGATCAGAAAGTCTTTATTTTAAATGTTAGATACATGCATTCAAGTTATTTACGCAGTTATTTAAACATCTTAAAATCCACGCCTCAACACCAAGAAATGAGCAAGCAAAACAGAAAGATAATATAGAAAGTATAAAGTAAGCGTAACTCACAAAAATATTCTTCTTTCTTCTGCAAATATAATAATAGATGTCTATCGCTTTTTTTTTATCAACATTCTCTTTTGTTTGAAATAACAAAGAATATTTGTTTTTTTCTTTTGGATTTTGTTTTTTTGTTTTTTTTTTCCCAGTGTTGTTTCTCTAAGTTTCAGTCAGTCGGTCGGTAGGTCCTTTCAAACCTGATGTTTTCAATAAATATTTTCTCACTCACTGGATAAACCGGCAGCGTGTTGCGCCTGCTTGTTATTTGTGGGACTTGCTCGAGCCTTTAAACGCTTTAGTCAACTTTATCCATGTAATTTTATTGAACAGTGATTACCAGGTGTCACCCACGACAAAAATACTCATGGCATTATCTACATTTTACGTATTTTATTATTCCTAAGGACTTACTCTCTCTCTCTCTCTCTCCTCATTTTCACTTTTTCTCTCTTCTCCCTCTCTTTCACTCTCTCTCTCTTTCTGTTAGAGAGATAGAGGACGATAGAGAGAGAGAGAAAGAGAGAGAGAGAGAGAGAGTGTGTGTGTGTGTGTTTGTGTATGTCTGTGTGAGAGAGAGAGGTTATTAAATTTTCAAAATACACTACACATAGCCACGCTTAATTATTGTTACAAATTGCATGCCTCTTACTGGTCTTAGTGATCCTATCGTAAGTTTATTATCTGGAACAGTTGCAGATAATAAACTGTTTCTAAAATGAGGACACAAAAGAAAACGACTCAAATTTGTCAGAAAATATAGAAAATCGACCACTGAACAGATTTGGACAGATAAACCAATGTAAGAAAATTGGAAATCGTTATTGAGGAGAAAACAATAGAAACAAAATAGGATTCAAGAAACTGGAAGAGAGTTCCATAGTCGAATATTGTGAGGAAATAAACTATTAGAATAGAACTTAAGATTACATCTACATTTCAACAGTAAAACAATGAGACCGAGTTGACAATCTTGTTAATTAAGTGCCATACGTGATACACGTTTCGACGTTTATGTCTTCTTTCGTTTCATCACTGAATAAGCAGAAGATTTTCTCGTGGTAGATTGCTATTATTTTTTGCTATAGACTGGTTGCCAACCAAGATCATAGAATCTATTCGATCCTGCTATTCAACCCCTAGCCAATCTTGTACTATGCTTAAATTCATATGGTCGAGGCACCGATGAAGAAAGCTCATTAGCATAATTTCCATGAAAATATTTATCGAAAAGACAAATAGAAGCCACATCTCAGCTGTGGGAAAGTGATTAAAGTCGAGATGCGAGGTCAGGACCGATAACATGACAGATCATTCTTTGGATTTTGTCATAGATTTCTAGATATATAGTAGAAGCATTAGACCGGATATGGCACCAATATTCAATCTGAGGACGAATGGTAGTCTTATATATAGATAGGTTCTGGGGTGAAAAATTGTCTGACACGATACAGTGAACCAACTTTCCTAGCATCACACCTAACAATTGATTTGATATAATCACTCCACTTCATGTCAGTAGAAAATGTAAAACCAATGTAAGACCGAATAAATTGTACTCCTGGAGGTAGGTGATGGAAAGTCAAAATATTTCTCTGTGGTGTCTAAAATATAGCAGTTTCGATTTGGGAGCGTTAAATTATACCATTTCTTGCACTAGTTAATAACTGATTGGAGGTCATTTTCGAGATCAGCTACGGGTTTTACTTTAACGGACCTATTGGATTTAAGACATGAATAAATAGTTATGCCATCAGATCCCAATAACGAATTGGGAACTGATGATATCGGAAAGGTGGTTGAAGAAGATAAGAAACAACGTAGGTCCAGGGATAGAGTATTGGGGGATATCTGCATTAAAATGAAAGGATTTAGAAGAGTGGCCTTTCAAGATGACTCTCATTACACGATTTGTTAAGAAAGATTGGATCAAATCAAATATTCGGCCAGACACACCATAACGCTTCAACTTGTGAAGAATGTCAGCATGCTAAACATTGTCAAACGCCTTTGAGATATGTAAAGCCCCAGCCCGAGTCCCGCCGTTCTTATGTAAGACATGATAGACAAATTCAGGAATAACCGTTAACATATCAGCTGTTTATCTAGAGAAATGAAATTGTTTACCCGAAAGCATTTCGTGTGAAGTGAGATGCTTAAGCAATTCGGAGTTGATTAGAGCTTCTAGTATTTTGCCAAAAAGAAGTAAAAAAACTAATGGAACGATAATTCGAGAGATCAGAAGGTTGAATTTATTAATCTATTAATATTCTATTAATCCTGGTTAAGATGTTTGAGATTTTTGCTTAATAATTGACATAATACACAGAAGAACTAGATCCTGGTTAAGCCTGCAGTAACAGGCATTCTTCGACATTTTGCACATGGCTTTTAATATCAAGAAGATAATGATTCAAAACTTAGTTCTTATTTGACGAAAATAATTCAATAAAAAAGGAAAAGAAAATCAAAGCGTACCGCACACCATGGATTGGTCACCTGGAAATCTGGATTTAAATCCAATTGAACAGGTGTGGGCCTGTCTAGATATACAATTGTCGAAAGGTAAATTTCATCTGAAGATACATAGTGACATCAAACACGATTTTTCAGGTACAGTATTGGAAGAACAAACTTAAATATATTGATTCTGTACCTCAAAAAGCCAAATACATTCTAAATGTAAATGTTAGCCAAAATAAATATTTAATTAATACTTACATTTTCATTAATTTTTAATATCTGTTGTTCAATCGCTTTCATTTTGTTATGTAGATTGAAATAATTTTTTCTTTTTGCTAAATATTGTTTTAATATCTGTCTATATCTCTGAGATAAGGTATTAGGATTACTTGCATTATTTACATTATTCAGGCTGTTATCCTCATCTTCATTGCCATATTCACAACTTCTCGGCCGTTGTATGCTCCGGCCTTCTTCAGGTGATTAGAATTTTATTTATTTCGTCCACCGGAGTTGATTGTTTTAGTTCCACATACCATTTCGGTTATCTTAGTTATTTCCCTTTAACTCAAATCTCCAAGTTTTGGTTCACCACTGCTCTGGCCTGGTATTGAACTGACAACTATTTTGGTCAAGTCACTGGATCTAACCAACGTCTTTATCCACTGGGCCATGTGTACTTGACACAAAACATTGTTTCTCTTAAAAACTAAGCAATGTATGTAATGTATAAGCATTAGTAAGTATAGATTGGCTACTGATCGTGTTGTTTTGAAGGAGTACAATATTTTTATTGCTTAAGATTGCGTGCACCATTAAGGATTTTCAGCAGAGGGGGGGGGTCCAAATTAACTGACTAATTTAAAAACTTCCTCAAATAACAATGGCAATCTTCTTGACCGATTCTGAAAAATGTCTCATAAGTAAAGAGAAAAACTTGAACATTCAGAGCCACAGTACAAGGCTAATTGCATGCATTGTATGGGTTTTGCTTTCAAAAAGTTTTCTTTCTTATTTTTAACTCCCAAAAATAACCGATTAGAAGGAAAATGCTTAAATATTTATGATAATTACTACACACACACACACATATATATATATATATATATATATATATATATGTGTGTGTGTGTGTGTGTGTGTATGTATGTATATGTATAGATATATGTGTGTCTGTGCATATGTATGTATATATATATATATATATATATATATATATATGTGTGTGTGTATGTATATATATATATATATATATATATATATATATATGTATGTATATATATATGTGTATATATATGTGTGTGTATATATATATGTGTGTGTGTGTGTGTGTGTGTGTGTGTGTGTGTGTGTGTGTGTGTGAGGGTATTAACACGAACCCAAGACCCCCCCCCCAGCAGTACCTCACGATATGACTAGATTTTGTTGGTTTCTCTCTTGCCAGATCCATAAAGTCTCAGTTCAAATTAAAACCCTCTCAATATAATTTTCTCTTTTATGCTGGTGACAATTCGAGTTTATGCAAGGGTGAATCAATAAGTTTGTAGCCTGACACGTTGTTACTAGATGAATTTTGATCATAAATTTCACTGTTTCATGTTCAATTTATTCAACACTGGATTAAGTGCATTGACAAGAAACAAGATTATATTAAAAATAAATATTGTTGTGTAAATATTTTTGTAGTTATTTTTTATTAGGCGACAAACTTATTGATATACCTGCAGATATATTGCTTATGCTTTCCCGTATTTTTATTAAAGATCTGGGTTGCTATTATGCTAAAAAATAGAAAAAAGAAATGGTAGTGGAAATTTTTCACACAACCAAATATAAAACGCTATTTACGTAAAGAATGAATTAAATTTTCTTCTGTTTCTTTTTGAAGATACAATAAACAGAGTGGAAAATCTATGGCACTTATAAGACCTAAAAAGTATACGCGAGATAACTTAAATGCTAATTGTGAACTTTGTGACAAATAAAACTAAGATTCTATGCCGTGTTACGTGGGAGATCAGGGCTCTCCACAATAGACTCTTGAAGGACACGAATGTGAAGGAGAAATATATGGAAAGTGTTAAAAGTAGATAGGAGTGACAAAATGAAAATGGAAACTGGCAGTGGGGCACATTAAGAGAAGCAAACGAGATCATCCCAAAGAAAGACAGACGGAGAAAAAGGAATAGATGGCAGATGAAATACCCAACTTGATGAAAAGGGGACAAAAACAATGCTAAGACAAGGAAAAGAATATAAGATACTACACAAATAAATAAGGGAGAAATGCAGGCAGGCTAAGAGGAATGGCTCAACGAAAAACGTACAGAAATAGAAAGAATGAGCATCACAGATAAAGGAGGATATGCATAAAAGAATAAGGGAACTAACAGGATAAAAGACCTGCTCATCAGGAAGATGCATAAAATTCAAAGACGGGACAATGATATTAGAGAGAGAAGAAAATACTTCAGAGATGGAACGAATATATCAGAGAACTCTTCTATGACAAATGAGAACAATCGGTAATACATAGAAATATTGACGGACCGGAAATATCAACATCTGATGTGGAATCTGCACTGACCAAATTGAATAAACAAAGCGACAGGACCAGACAGAACTTTAATAGACATGCTGGCAGCCATAAATGATATCAGCATATTCAAGAGTATAAAAATAAACAATGGAATCTAAAACAGTGGTGATATATCGGAAAACCTAAGGAGACCTATTTTTATAGCACTGCCTAAGAAGCTAGGGGCAAACGAATGTAAATTTCATCGGACAATCAGCCTAATGAGCCATATAATAATAATTTGAATTAGAATTCTGATGAATATAGCGTGCAGTAGAATCAGACCGGAAATAGGACAAGAATTGTGCGCGTTCGTCAAAATCATTGGAAAATGAACGCGATATTTATGCTTAGAATATTAACAGAAAGTTTAACACAAATACAGAAGGACGTGTACTTGTGTTTTATATATTTGTTGCAAATGCGCAGCAACCTTGACATATTGGGGAAGGATAATAATCAAGAACCTATACTGGCAGTAAACAGCCTGCATACGGATAGAAAATCAGTTTAGCAGATATACAAAAATAGAAAGTAGTGTAAGACAAGGATGTGTCTTCTGATCGGATTCATTCAATCTTTGCAGCAAGGCGTTGCTTAGGTTGAATAAGAGAGAATTCTGAGAGAATCAGATGTCCAACCAGAATTCATTATTGGCGGCCACAATATTAATAACATAAGATATGCGAATGACACAGTGTTGATAATAAATACAGAAAGAAAACTACAAAATCTCCCACAGAAGCTAGTGAAGGAAAGCGAGAAGGGAGGATTAAACATCAGCTGCAAGAAAACAGAATGAATGATTGTTAACCAAAGGATGAGCCCAAAATGCAAATTACAAATCAGAGATACCAAAAATTTAAATATTTGAGGACGGAAAGTGCGACACTGAAACCCGAAGGTGCATTGTGATGACCAAAGTGGTCTTCCGAAAGCTAAGCAGAATATTAAGAAGTAGAAACTTCATTAGAAACAAAGGAAAGAGTACCGGACTGTTATGTGATATCTGTCCGACTGTATGGCAGTGAATGCTGGACAATCTCCTCAACGATGATGACGAGACTTGAAGCAACAGAAATGTGATTCTACAGAATGATACTGAGGATATCATGGACCGAACATTTAAGCAATAACGAAGTTTTAGTGAAAATGGAAACAAAAAGCCAACTTATACTTAACACCAGAAAAAGACAGTTGAAATTTCGGATAAGTTGAAATTTGCTAATGAATTCCTTCATGCACGGATCACTCAGTTTGAGAGTGAATCAATTTTCAGAGACGGCCTCAATAAGTTGGCTTACCATCGCAAACTAACGAAATGATCGAACGTGAACAAGGAACAATTAAGACAGCATTCATAGCTAGAAAGGAACCATGGATGGACGCCCTTCTAATAATACTAATGGGTATCCATGCTGCACCTAATTCTTCTAATACTTCGCCCTTCTTTATAGTACCAGACACGCATATAATAATTCTTCAGTTGCTAGTAGATGATACTAACAATAACACAGATAATCAGAGGTTACAATGTACACTCCTTACATTCAACAGACAAATATTTTCGCTCTGTAAATATATCTCGTCAATACGTTCCTGGCAAGTTTAAGATATGTAAAAATGGATGGTTAACATAGACAGAGTTCGCAAGCCTTTGGAAGTACCTTACACTGGTCCTTTCCAAATGTTATTTAAAACTGACAAATATTTTGTAATTAAAATGAACAATGAGATACAGTCACCGGTATCAATAGATAGATTAAAACCACACGTTGAACCTAAAAGTGATAAGCAAGTAATAACTGAAAACCTACCTTATAGTGATGATATATTAATAAAACATAGGCAGAAATAGTAAACCCAGTCATACAAAAGCATCTAGAAAAGTTTATTGGAAAAGAGACAAGCAGTATCATTACAGCTAGTCTCCGTTATTAGGCGTGAAGGTTTGTTGCCTGAGACAATAAGTTATCTCCCCTTGACGCTAATAAAAAAAAACAAAAAAACTAATTATAGATATTCAGGAGAATTAAAAACAATTACGTGACCTGACAAGAACCGCACGAGACGTCGTAAGGCGCGTAAATTAAACAGCCTTTTTAGTTCCGGAAAGCCAAACTAATAAGACGAGTATAAGTCACGCTCTCGACAAACAATATATATATATATATATATATATATATATATATATATATATATATATATATATATATATATAGCAAGTGTTTTTACAAAGAATTTATGCTTTATTTGAACATTTTTACATGTTTATGTCGTATATTCATTCACTTTGTAAATGAATTCAATGTTATATATCGACGCAAAAGAATCCTTCCTTCTTGTAAAATGTATTCTTCTAAATCAAATCCCATGTGTAAGCTTAGTATCCTAAAATTGGGAAACCCTAATGAAATACCAATGTATGCATTGAGTCTGGCTCTGGAAAAGAAAATATTCTACTTTCTATTTTAATGACTCTCTAGAGTCTTTAGGATTAGAAGACGAAGTTCCTTGTGTGATTCTGATAAACACCAAAAGAAAAATATTGGTGCAAAGCAAAATTCTAGCGTGTTTGACTCCTTGCCTTTGTACTTGCCATTGACAATTGAAGGGAGACTACTTCTAGGTAACTTGTGGAAATTAAAATCATCCTAGTATTAAATTATACCAATCGAATACCAAAATACCTGAAATAATTTATCTAAGGAGTTTGTACATTTAAGTTTTTCGAAATTTCCCAGATGTGCAGTTGTCAGGTCAATTCCTGTAGAATCGTATTTATTTTGTAATGCCCCCCCCCCTCAAAAAAAAGGCATATGCTTATGCCTCCTATATAACACAGGATTCTATAACCTCCTTATTTTCTGCTAAGGCTTAAGACAGCGCCCATAAAAGCACAGTCTTTGTTTTCATTTGACTTGATATCAGTATACTTAGACGTGGAATGCATTAAGAACATTTTGAAACCTTTACCAAATGTTTGTATCAAAGATGCTGTTGGTGCTCAGATAGTGTTATTTTGGTTAATGTCTGAAAACCTAAAAACCAAAACCCAGTTTGTTATGAATAGATTAAAAGACATTAAAGTAGCCCTAGAAGAGTTAGATTCTCGACATGGATTATCAGTAAAATTCAAATATATGCCTTCTTCAGAAAACCTTGCTTATTTAATTTACTCGAGGATTGTCTTTGGAAAAAGCTTAGACAAAAGTTTAAATTTTGAACTTCTGCTCCTTCTTCGTTAAAAAAAAGATCCAATAGCTTTTTCTGAAAGTGGTATACATTGCTTGAATAATTGCAATAAGGAGATTATTTAAAATCAAGTATATTACAACGTTAGCCATGCTAGTCTTTTAGAAGCAATGTTATCTTTGGAAAACATCGAAGTTATCGAGATTATCAAGAATATTAATATTAGTGTTCAAATTCACTAATAAGTTAAAATAATCTGATGCAGATCCTAAACAAGATGCTAAGTTGTATCTGTTCAAATTGATGCAGAACCAATCATTTGATAAAGAAATTCAATATCTGTAAAATCCTAAAACTGAAAAGATCCCAAAATTAATAGCAGACTTAAACCTGCTTTTAGATGAAAATTATTACATTATTTACCAAGTATTGTTGTCTCCAAAGCATGATTTAACAAGACTAATCATAATGGACACGCATGAAAGATGCAAGCATCTAGGAATTTCTAGTCAGACCCTTAATAAACTGAAGCTCTCAGGATTTTGGTTTCTAAGGCCAGACAGCTTATTATAAAATACATTTCCAGTTGTTATTCTTGCAGAAAATATAATTCCCTCTCATTTAAATAACTGATCTTCCTAAACATAGAGTGAACTTGATCAAACCATTTTCTCATGTAGGAATAGATTTTACAGGACATTTAATGATTAAAACTGAAAAGGGTAGAAATAAAATGTACATTTTAATCTTCATCTGTATGAATGTAAGAGCAATTCATATTAAACTTGTTAAGGAAATGAGTGCTCGTGAGTGTGTGCTAGCCTTTATAAAATTCTCTAACATTTATGAGATTCCCAATCACATTTTTAATAATAATACTAAGTCCTTTATCACTGGGTGTAAATTGATTAAAAAATTTCTTTGACTCTAAAGAGTTTTTAGACAGATTAGACTAACTTTAGCATTAAGCACCTCACAATACCTTTATATTCAGCCTGGATGGGCAATACATATGAACACATGACCAGTACTGACAACCATTGTCTATAAAAGCATAGGAAAATCTCAAGTGGAGTATTTTGAATTACTCACTATTCTTTCAGATATACAAAAGGCAATAAATTCCCGGCCACTAACTTCTTCTGAATCAGGTTTGGAAATAATTACCCCCAATTGTTTTTATATCCTCTTTCTAAAGAATATTTACTGCTAAACATGGATGATGAAAGTATTATTGTGTGTGAACCCCCTCAACGGAAAGACGTAGAGATCTCTAGAGATAAAGGATTATTTAGTTAATAAATTTAAAAATTGTGGTATGGTGAATATCATTTAAATTTAAGAGAACAATGTAAGGATCTGCTTGAAAACAAATATGAAAATATTATTAAGGTGAACGATGTCGTAATCATAAAGAATCCAGCTAATCTTCGACCTTATTTGGCAATTAGGAAGAGTAATTGAGCTTATATCGGATGATGACAAAAGGATTTGCTCATTTAGAGTTAGAAGAGAAGATGGTTTGACTCATTTTTTGAGCCATCTTCACCCTTTGGAATTATATTTAACACATAAATTTAACCCAATCCATCCGGTATCTGAAAATGAACCTGTTTTCCGCCACTCACTAACGGGCACTGATTCAGTCAGAAAAACTAAAATGAAAAATAAATAATCTGATCCTAAAGATCCTTATATTTAGTATTAGATTCTTCACATTACATATTTGTGAATTAATGCATAAAATGGGTTAAGTTCTTTAAAGCATAATTAATGGTTATAGAATAAGTAAAAGGAAAATATAGTTTGTGTTCAAATACAGTGCCACTAACACAGAAAAAATATTGTTGTAACTGTAAATGAATATGCCTTTAAGTTTAACAACTGTAAAATGTTTTCACAATCAAGTTTTGTTGGTAATGTGGAAGTAAAGATTGTAAATAACCAAAATAAACAAATGCAATTTGTACAAAATAAATGATTTCAAACATAGTTCAAACATTGGGAAAAAATCCTTGTATGTAATTATAATTTGGTATATTTGCAGTAAAAATTATCGTACAGTTACATTCCGTATGAACCTTCGAACAATTCATAATTAATATTTATTACAAGTACAGAATTTAATTGTACAATATAGAATTTTGCTTGCATAAGGAAGGTCTATCACTCAATATAAAATTTATATACAAAAAACTTGCTTTCTTGCGTTTTTGTCTGAGAGGAAATAATGCTTGAGCATGTATCGTCTGCTTTTCTTAGAGAAAACAAACGCGGCGTTGGATTCTTGCTTAAACTTTTGAATTTCAAAAATATTTTTAGTACATTTCAATTTGTGGGAAAACAGCTGCGTTTATTTTTCATCCAGAACCAATCAGGTTTCCCTCCAAATTCTGAGAAGAAAATTTGGGGCATACATATTTGGGGTGGGGCCTTGGTGGGTCGACGAACATCTGCTTTTCGGACCTAGGTCGTCCCGGTTAAGAAAGAAAAACAATACAGAATATATTTAACAACCAACAAACGAGAATTAAAAAGAAACATCAAAGTCGCTTCCACATCAAGTCGCTCCTACATCAAGGAAAAGTCTTCGGCTGGTGTAATTGTTCTATTCTTCGCTGTTATCACGAACTTTGCTCCGAAAATTTTACCAATTCTTTGAAAACTGTTCAGAGAAGTATTTTCCTTTTTTCTACATTTTATAATTTTCTTTTCTGAGGACCTAATGCAGCATTATAATTTTTATTGTAAAAAAGGCATATTTCATTTGCATTGATTATTTTTACATACGTGTTATTGGGCAGCATTTGGCACACAATTCACTTAATTTGTGTAATTTTAGTGGGTTAACAATAAATTTATCGGCTGTTTTTTTGAAAACTCGGCTCATGTCGTCTGTCTTTGTTGTGTGCTCACATAAATTAAATGTTATCTCAAACGTTTGTTTGAACCATTTCCATTTTTTTTTCAGCAAATAAAATATCCTTTACATGCTACGATAACGTAAAACCTCTTGTTACTATTAAAACGGAATATTTCATTGCTAAGAATGGAAATTTCAGAAGGCATGACCGATAAAGTCACATTGTGTTTTCTATTATAGAAATCGTCGGAAATTCCAGTTTAACGATACACAATATATAATGCAAAAAATATACTATTTTCCT